GTATATAGCCATCTTTAAGGAACCATCAAAATTTTATGTCCCACCTATAACACAGGCTTCGTTCATAAAACCAATAAAATATGAACAAGAGACAGTTTGATGACCGTGATAGAATTCTTAAGACCGTATTTTATTAAATTATTAGTGGGGCATATTGAGGTCGAGGTGATTAATGAATCATACTTCAGATTTCTTAAACTAGTTGATTAAATTTATTACTGGTGGGGCGTATTGTGTGCCCTACGGTTGGATGCCAACATCACGCTTATTTCTACAGTAAACCGTATTGTCTATGGACTCTCTGAATACCACGTAGAGCATGAGCTCATTGATTCATCAAGTGAGATGAATAAAACACATGTGGCACTCGGGGATTGCCGCGGTAAAGCTATTGCATAGCATTTTTTATCAACTTATGCAATTATAATTAGACATAATAATTTAATATTAAAACAATAATATAATAAGCGCTATATTTATAAACATTAACAAAAACAAAACATTAACTATCCCATTCACACTCATAAGCTAGACCGCGCGAGAGAGAGATGAGTAGACTTTTCATGATCCGCATGCAGTGCGACGTCACGCCGCGCGCTTATTCACAAACACTACACATTCACAACGTGTGTGAACGCGAGCTACATGGTAGGCGGAGTAGGGGGTGTTAGGTTTTATTTTCGTTACGGAATTTCTTGATTCGGTCGCCCCGCTCAAAGCCCGCGATAAAAGTTATGCAATAGCTTAAAAACCTTTTATTATTATGATATTACTGAATGACTTACATGAACAAAACAACTTTTTAATATTTCTGCGACGTGACGAGAGTATTGGTGCTATCAACAAATAACGTTCGTAATAAAACTCAACATTATATCACGAGGTGAACTAGAATCTGCTCCCGGCCATCCGTGGAATAAAAAATGAAACGTTTCTTCGAAGAGATACAGCCAATAATAATATAACTTTTCCCATTAGCCAACTGATTGCAAAAGTCGCCTTCACTCTTTACTTTTAATTTGAAAACTTACACTGCTATTTGTACGGTTTGATTATTTTTTGTACGAGTTTTAAATAGTTTTGTGCACATCGTATTGATTCATTTGTCAAGAATTTTTAATACGATTTAAAGGGTTTGTTGAATAAGAATTGAAAAACGATTTCTTTGTTGTCAATCAACGTTGATATATGCAATACGGAATATCTCAGACTACTGGTATAACACAAAGAAACATACATTAAACTGAACCATATTGATATTATTAAAAATCGACTAATTTCTCTGGAGTTTCATCAACAGTCATAAATTGATGTAGGTAAATGAAGCCGCAGATAAGGCACGCTAAATTTTGTGCCATTCAAGTATATCCGAGAGAATATTTCTAAACATTTAATCTACGTTAAGGTCCTATCGCGTAATTAAGGAGCTCCTAACTACATTAGGATTTCGTTATACGTTTTAAACGGGACATCTTTCCTGTAAGAGGCCGTTACGGGAATAATCGAAACAGCGCACGCGTTTCTAGGCCGTGGTCCAAGTTACGGACTGAACGTGGTAACGCTCAGGTTAGTACCCGTGAGCAACCGTGACAACTCACCTGAATATAGGCTGTATGGTCATCTTTTTATTTTTATTTCATTGTTTAGATGAGTGGATGAGCTCACAGCCCACCTGGTTTTAAGTGGTTACTGGAGCCCATAGACATCTACAACGTAAATGCGCCACCCACCTTGAGATATAAGTTGTAAAGTCTCAAGTATAGTTACAACGGCTGCCCCACCCTTCAAACCGAAACGCATTACTGCTTCACGGCAGAAATAGGCAGGGTGGTGGTACCTACCCGTACGGACTCACAAGAGGTCCTACCACCAGTACTCACCCGAATATAGGCTGTATGGTCATCTTCAATAGCAATATTGTAACGATCCCTCCGTGCGCCGTGCTTCTCAGTGCTGAGGGTTGTAATCTTTATAGGGCACTTTTTATTTTACTTTTATTGCTTAATTGGGCGGGCGAGCTCACGGCCCACCTGATGTTAAGTAGTTACCAGAGCTCATAGACACCTACAACGTAAATGCGTTAGTTTTCTCTTTTAACTACGGCTGCCCCGCCCTTCAAACCGAAACGCATTACTGCTTCACGGCTGAAATAGGCAGGGTGGTGGTACCTACCCGTGCGGACTCGCAAGATGTTCTACCACCAGTAAGAAAACAGTTGTTGATGTTGTAACAATAAAATATACTTATTTAAATTCTGTACTCTAATATTATAAACGAAACATGAATGATTTTTAATTGCATTAGATTAGCAATGATAGTCTAGATATTAACTGGTTATCTGATCCCATTAGCATTATAAAGTCAATATCATCGTTATCCTGGTATAAGGTGAAAGTCTTAATAGTTTTAATGTGATATAAGAGTACCATGTAACTATGGAGAGCAGCTGTCAAAGCTTTAATAAACAAGGATTCCACATGACCACGACTGCTCTGCCAAAAGTAACCGACCATGATGATGATGATGATGATCAGGGTACTTACTCACTCCTTCAAACCACAAGGCATCATTAACTAATGTTTCCGCTGTAATTTTCAGTATATTCTTGTGTGAATTTTTATGAATTCAATTAATTATGTCCCTTTCACACTTGTTAGTAGATGGTAATACAGTCGACTCGCTAACGCAATCTGAATTAAAAAATCCTCAAGTTAAAAACATTTTTCGTTACAATTTCCATTACCATGTCTTGCTATCACTATTGACTATACGATAAAAATAAATCTCACTTATCATCGTCATCCCTAAAACTAAAACCAACGCTGTCTGGGAATCTGCTTGTATCTGCAGATAATTATTTAAACATTATCATTCCGCCATCAGTAGGGCTGTAATTTGTACTATACTATAATAACAAATATACAAATATCATTTCTCTTAATCAACCGTGACTCATTGTATATCATGCTACATTTGAGGCGTTATCATGTACGCCCGCTGTCGCTTGTATGTTACGCCAAGCGCGAACGCAAGGTAGGAAAACAGTTTGGAAAAGGGAAAAACGTCTAGGAGCCGCAGTTACCCACAGTTTTAATATTTAATTAATTGACAATTAGACCCTTATCAATGTAAATGGTTATTGAGAAAGTTACGAAGCTCTGAGATAGAGGCCCGAACCGCTGTTGTTACAAAATATGCTTTAAGACACATGTTTTTGAGTTGAATTTTAGTTACCTGGTTTTTTGAATAAAATTTACATATTTATGGTGTAATGCATGAGCTTTATGGGCTTGTTATCAAGAAAGCTGAAAGACATATTATATGAAAGTATCTTTTTAGGTAATGTTTCAATATCATTAAAAAGAAATACAAACTACATTGTTTGTTTATAAAGTCGTCGCGGCCTAAAGCACAAGACACCCGGTGCATTCGCATTTGTGCCGGTGTTCGAATCCCGCAGACAGAGGTACTACATGCCAACGAATGATTTCCATAACATAAAATAAAAATCGTAAATAATTTGCGTAATTACTGGTAGTAGCGCGTCTTGTGAGCCCGCATTTGTAAATGCTACCACCCTGCCTACTTCTGTTGCAAAGCGCTCCAGTTTGAAGAGTGGGACAAACGTCGTACCAGTATCGTCTAGAATTTAAATTTAGAACTCATGTCTGAAGGTGGCTGGCGGGATTTTTGTTGTTGATTTCTATAGACCCTGGTAACCACCTAACACTAGGAGGGCTATGAGTTTCTTGACCCATCTAAGTATTAAAAAACCTGTATTCTATTGTATGCCAATCTATTTTTCACCAAAAAATCATTTACTATTCGTTACATTCTATCATCAATCGTAGAAGAACCGTATTTTTGGTATACAGAGTTTTATACAGTAGTTTTATTGAAATCGTAACTTTATGAACCTAATAATAAAATAAGTACTACTCCAATTGTTAATTATTAATTTGATTGCACTAATTAATTCATTTCAGAACATTCGAACTCGCGCCTAAGTTATAGCAATTAATTTTACACTTGATGAAGTTTATAATGTTACGATTTAATTACTTAATATTGTAACCGTGTCTTTGAAATGATATTCAGAATAAGAGCGACATTAATGATACGTCGCGTTGTTCTTCACAACCGAAGTGAATAAACATGTGGTTGCTATTCATTTCCAGTAGGAGTTAATACATTTTACGATTAAAATTTGATTTGAGAAATTTGTCACTTTCCAAATGAGATCTTTCGGATTGTTAATCTTTTTATTATAGGGCTTGTAGGGCTGACTGACGTAAGCGTTACGGTCGTATGTTGTTTTTATTCTTAAGGAATAGCTTTGTTTTTCTGTTAAACTAAAATATTATTATATTAAGATATTATTTATTATTATGTAGTTTGGAGATACTTTTTGTTATTAATTTTCTTTAAAATCGTATTTACGTAGAGCGAATTATGTTCACGAATGTTCACGTTTAAACTGCTAGTAGCTTTGTAATTAAGTTGTAAAGTTTTACATCGAAACACCTCAAGCTGGGCTTTTCTTATTGTAAGAGCCGGATTCCAAACAAGACGCAGTTAATAGCATTAATGAGTTAATGAGTTCACGAACCACTTGGTACTAAGTGGTTACTGGAACCGATAGACATTGCAGTATCAATGCCGCTTCTGATCTTGAGACATGAGGTGATAGTATTATATAACAGCTGTGGCAACTCTTTAAGCTATAATATAAGACTATTTCACAACAGAACTATTAAAATTGGTTTTACTATTGGCGTCACGACTATGTTTTTTTTACTAATAAAAGTACTCAACCAGCATAAATATTCGAGACAGTTGAAAGGACTCCGACTTTGAATCTCTAGGACTGAAGCAGCTTTCAGTAACTACTCAACACCGCGTGGGCCGTCTGCCACGACACGAAATAATTATGAAAAGATTGCTTCTTACTAAAACAAGTAATTTGTTGTTTTCAGGTAGCAGGTGTGGTGGGGCGCGCAGACGTGTTAGCCTGTGTCTTCTTTCTCACATCTATTCTTCTTTATCACGGGTAAGTGTATTCAAATTAACAAAAGTTTTCATCGAAATTTCTTAATGATATATTAAATGCGCGGCACGTTTTATTCTTTATTATTTATTTAATACTATCATTATTTAATTATTATTTATATAAGTTAAATAAATCAGTTTCTGTTGAAATATATTCTAAAAGTATGATTATATTTTAGTTATGGAACTTAGAACAAATCCCAGCTGTCATCTACTCGTAACAACTACCAAAACTTTATATCCAGTCTGAAATTACAGATTGTTTTTCCTTCCTTAGCTGCTCAACAAAGTTTTTGTAAGACAATGACATCCGTAACCGGTCGAAACAGATCAGGACGCATCAAATTTCCTTCCAACACCAATTAGCAAAGTCGGGCTGTCCCTCAAATAGTTGGAGGAACTCCTGGCTAGTTCGGCCCTTGTTTTTGTCCTTTCCTCGAAAGACAGATGGGGAACTTGTCCTAACTTGGGGCTGATGAAATTGTTTGTTACTCGAACGTCGTTGTCAGACCAGTGGGTCTTTTCACGTTATTAATCACTCGTCAACTTTGCTTTACTACACTCAAGTATGTATAACTTTGAAGATGCCTTTGAGAATTTTTGAAGGACTCTGCAATGGTTTAAATGTTTGAAGAGCGGTTCGTGCTTACTTAAATCTTGTCTTATTCATGTAATGTTTCTGTAATATTGTGTACATTTTTTGGTCTTCAATTTGGTAAATCAGGACAATCGATTGTTTTGATATTACTTCGTTGAGGAACTTAGAGGCTTCGTTGAGTTAAAAGATTTGTTATATCCACATCTTTTTCTTTATTAATTTCATCACATGATGAATCTGGTTTAGTCGATAGTCATGAGCAGGGGTGATCAATATCCATAATTCGTTGTTTGTTGTAAATTTGAAGCTGCTGTTAATTATCCGGTAGTTAGTTTAATTTAGTTTAAGGGCTAATAAAATTTCTTTAATACCAAGACTCATCTTCCCACATAAGCCATTTGGAATTTAAGGACGCAGGTTGGGTTTTAAGGGAAGGAAAACTCCATAGGGAAATGGGAAATTCCAAACGGATTTTAGGAAAAAAACTGCCTCGTATAACTATTTTGATTTTGATAGTACGATGGACCATCAGAGATAGACTACGAGAGACACTGGGTGATAGTCTTCACGAAGGATGATAGTAACATTCTAGTAAATCACCATCTTTGCCGTAATATTTATTTCCATGCTACAGGTACCGATAACATGTACCAGATAAGTGCACCCAGACCAAAGGCAAACGCCGTGGTACAATCTCCTGAGGGTAATATATCACTGAGAAAATTAGTTCAGATAAATAGTATAATAATTTCATTCAATCAATTCGTGAAAACATGAATCCGTCAGAATCTATGATATATATCTTGATTTGTAGATGTATTACTATTTATCTTAGGAGCACTAATTGGGGTTTCTGTACTGTATTCGGAATTTGCGGTTATACTGAATTTACTGTTGGCTGTTGATTATTCGGTTGGCTTGAGGCCGTGTTGTTGGCTTTGTTTGTGGAATTGAGAAATGTTTTTGTAAGCGTGTATATGAGTAATAATAATACTAGTGAGATAAGTGAAATGTTAGACTAAGTACAGGGCTGTGTTTCCGCTAGCTCTAATTATAATTATATCGCTATTTAAAAAATCTGGATATTTATAAATAGTTGAAGGTCTATGGATAAAAGACATGACATGTAATTTTAGCGAGTAATTTCATGTACTGTAAAATATTGATAGATTCAGTGCAATGTATTAAAATTTAAAACCATCGTCTCCTTTCTCGAAAACAAAAATCAATACTACGAGCTCTTCTTGAGGTTTTGCTGAATCAATGACTTAATACATTTCAGAACAAACAATCACCGTGTCTGGGGGAGTGTAGCAGCTGGTGCCCTTAGCATGTTGGCCAAGGAGACAGGACTCACTGCCTTACTCTTCAATGCTGCACTGGACCTATACAGATGTTGGGCTCATGTACACAGGTAATACTAACCGATTACAGTGAGACCAGGGTCATTAGTAAAATGATATGAAATAGATATTATGTAATGTACCTGCATAATTTATTTCGAAAATAATACTAAAATAGAAAATCTGGAATATTCGAAACACCTACCTTAAAACATGATGTTAAATATAATTAATATTTGACTAACTTTGTTTCTACCGTGGTACGACTTATACCAAGCAGTATTAAAATGATGTTCATACTGTTTCAGATCTTCGTCAGCAGTAAAATGGCGTTGGAAAGACAGTCCTTACGGCAGAGCATTTAAAACTCTAGCAGCTCTCAGTTTACTGGCTGGAGCAAGACTAGCATTACTACAAGGTTCCTTACCGGCTTTTTCACCACAGGACAATCCACCTGCTTTCCATCCTTCATTTACTGTCAGGTGCGTTTTGATTGAAATCTTTTCATAATTAATTTATAAATTTTCCAGGATATGGATTTGGTTATGTCACTTTTTTATCCATAAACCATACCAAAAGTAGACAATTGCAAAGCATGCCTGGTTGCGCGCCTGAGTAGTAATAGGATGCGTAGTGATGATTTACCATGTGAAAAATATGGATGCTATAAGAAATTTTATCCAAATCACTTATGTATTATTATTAAGAATCATAACAAACATTCAAATGTACAAACTTCCACAGTTATAAAATTTCCACAGATATAATTTATTAATTTTCATTTAAATGAGTCCCTGGATAATCAATTAAGCCTTAAAGTGGCGTTGCAATGGGGTTCGCCACACATTTTTTAAGATTCTTCGCATATAGCCCCACCCTAGCATATAGGCAGCGACTCGGCTGTCTATGTGTCTATGATAATCTATTATTGATGGTATCTATTACAATCAGGTAGGCCGTATGTTCAAGGGTCTACAGTGGTTATTAAAAAAACCGTTAAGTCTCCATTACATTATATATTATTGTTCAAACTGAAATTCATGATGACTTAGTTTATAAAATGTACCGCGGAGACCGGCGTCGTTGGTGGTTGACTATGGCCTCGACGACCCGGTGGTCGGGCGTCCTAGAAGTGGTGTTGCGGGTCTGTTTGTAGTGTTGACTGCGGGAGCCCTCTTACTCTGACCGGGTTCTGACCCCGGGCGGAGATCAAACGTCCGGTGTAAGAGTGCAGGGGAGTCGCTTAGTGCGGTAGGACCCTAAAAATATCCTTGGGCCTGCGGTCTGCTCTCAACATCTGTAGATCGTCAATTCCCACATACCATGCGTGCCCCCTAGGCGCGGGAACCTCATAAAAGATTCGGCCAGAGGCCCGAAAAAGATAAGGTTATAAAATATGCATTAGGAGCACCATGAGCCGGCTCGGTTTGGCTACACATGGTTGTTCGTTCATCATGAACTAACGGTAAATAAGACGAATTAGACAAACCGATATCTGGCAGGGAGTTTGATTCCTGGAATAGTGGCAATACGATTATGTTGGATGTGTTTTTCATTAGACTGCAGACACTTGACATAGTAGTTTTTTTTCAAACTGATTGTAATATTGGCAACAATAATTTCAGGTTGATGACCTTTTGCTACTTGGCCGCTTTCAACTGGTGGCTGCTAGTGTGTCCATGGACTTTAAGTCACGATTGGCAGATGGGCTCAGTACCATTGATCACCAACGTCAGCGATCTAAGGAATTTAGTCACCTGTGCTGCCATGTGCGCTTTGTTTGGTCTCTGTTATAGATGTCTGCTCGATTTGGAGGTATTTTCTAGTTTATGCTACTTGAATTATATTATATTAATCAACCTGAGTCAAAAGTCAATGCACCTATACGATAATGTGTAGTCTAGATAGTTATCTAAAGATATAAGTCTACGATTTTTGATCATGATTTGTAGCAGTATCATTACGACCGTAAACTTCTACCTAATCTCTAGTTCCTAACATGAGTACTGGTAAGAGGGAGGTTGCATCCCATTTTGATCAGGTAGATGTTAAGAAAGTTATACTCAAAGCTCTTGATGATTATTAAAAATAATGAGCTGTAACATAAAAGAAACAAAAACTACATAAATATTCTTTATTTCGTGTATTATTTTCAGTTAAGTAGCTATATTTTTGATGATAAATCTGCTATATGAAAATGTATTTATAATATTTCAGATGCAGCGTCATACTCCAGCGGTTGTGGGATTAATGCTGCTCGTCATTCCATATCTCCCTGCCTCCAACCTGCTGGTCACTGTGGGATTCGTCATCGCTGAACGAGTGTTATATATTCCCAGGTATGTTTAGAATCCAAAACTTTTCCATTCCCCTTTGTTATACGAACTTTGTTCAAGAGCTACACGGCGTAAACTCTTTAAGTTTGATCACTTTATGGGGGTAGTGGCTAGCTAGCGCTGCCTTTTATACCACGGATTTTTTTGTTTACCTCGTTTACCGTTAGGCTGAGGCATTGGAAAGAAAAGACAAGGCTCTCGCCGTGAGCCTCAATAGCACGACGACCTTTGACAAGGTGCGGCATAGGATTCTTCTGAAGATAATTGCAGCTTATGGAATCCTTTAAGGACTCTGAAAGTAGATTGCTATCAGCAACGCTGGCTGCAAAACCGGGCTGTTCGAATTGTCAATAATCCCGTTCTCCCGGAGCACCTGGGACTGCAGAGGAATTTCGGTTCTCCTGAGCACTGTGCCGTATGTTCCATAGGGAGTGTTCTGAGAAATTGCTAAAGATGACCTCATCAGATACCGAGCACAGTTCATCCATATTACCTAGAAATATAGCGTTGATCCACAGTGCGTTTACAGACACCCCTTTTGCCACATACCAACCGGCTGTACTGTGCCCCTGGCATTACTTGCGTTAATGAGCATTGGCGATCACCCACCACTTAGCAAACAATATGCTTGTTTGCGTATTAAGGTAATTAAAAAAATTCAGATTAGGTAGAACTCATTACTAAGAAGAAACAACACTGATCTTATGTTACGTCCGTGGGCTGCAGCAACGAATAAATATCAAATGGTTCGTTTGCCTTACATTTAATGGTAATATTTAAAATTCAAATAGATATAATGCGACGCAAAAAATAATAATTAATTATCTCTCCACATTTCCGATTCTTCTCTTTATTTTTCAGCGTGGGCTCAGTATTGTTGACTGCGTATGGAATTGAACTGATGTGGAAGCGAGGGTTTAGAACGAAGAAGCTGCTAGTGCTGTGCGTTGCAACACTAGTGGCTGCAGGAGTAGCGAAAACACATCTTAGAAACAGAGATTGGAGAACTAGAGAAACTCTACTGAGGTAAGAATAGAATGTCCAATTGTGTTTGTTTGCGAAGAAATAATGTTACACTCAATCTAAATTAAAATATCATGATTTAACTATGGTTTATAATGATTTAGCTATGATTTTACACCGTTTATACTGGTGGTAGAACCTCTTGTGAGTCCGCGCGGGTAGGTACCACTACCCTGCCTATTTCTGCCGTGAAGCAGTAATGCGTTTCAGTTTGAAGGGTGGGGCAACCGTTGTAACTATACTGAGACCTTAAAACTTATATCTCAAGGTGAGTGGCGCATTTACGTGGTAGATGTCTATGGGGTCCAGTAACCACTTAACACCAGGTGGGCTGTGAGCTCGTCCACCCATATAAGCAACAAAAAAAATAATTTTTAAATCGACTTGACGGTACCACTAAACCCTCCGGTATACCTAATCTTGTTTATTTTCAGAGCTGATCTCTCAGTGCTGCCACATAACGCAAAATTACACTACAATTTCGCTAATTTCTTGAAGGATGTCGAGCAGCACGAGATTGCCATCAAACATTACAAGGAAGCGTTGAAGTACGTCACTTTTTAATCTATACTAATATATAAATCTACAGTGGTTTTTACGGATGTTCCGTTATAGCTACTGAACCATGCATCCGATTTACTTGAAACTTGGTGGTATCCATGTAGAAAATACATGTATTTAATGGATAGGCTAATATTTATATGAGCGTTGGACTCCCTACACCAGTTGCGGGGGCGTTAATGATGAGAATCTTTATGGGGGTGAGAAATAATAATTTTAATTTTAAATGCCCAGCGAAGCGGACGGGTAAAGCTAGTAGTCTAATAATTTTCCCTACTTTATGGGCTATGAGATTTGTGTGAGCATCTAAAGTAGTAGTTTGTGTCTGTTTCCATAAGAGAGGCACGATGCCTTTTAAGATTAAAAGGCAGCTAGCAATTTAAACAAGTTAATAGTAATAAAAATAACAGAATGAATTATTTTAGTAAATATTAAAATAATAAAATATATTGTAATACTAATGTATTATACTTTAAATAATATATTGATAATTTTATTCAAACAAACAGATCTTTCAGTTCTTATCGAAGCCTCATTTAAAAGTTAACCGCATGTTTTTAAAATTTTCAACTTTTCTTGTATTTTCGAATTCAGTTACCATTAGTATGCGCCTGAAGAAAATTAAATGAAAAGAATTCAAAGCGTTCATCTCGTAAAAAACCATTGATTATGGCCATATTGTACTAAAATATAATATGAAAATATACCTATAAAATCTACGGTCAGCATTGAGAATCTCTTTCTTCATTAATTAATCATTAAAAGCAAAGGCTTACTTCTAAAGTTCATTCCTTCAGAAATGTTTTCATGTGTAGTAAAACCCCCGATGTTTAGTAAAATTAACAGTTTACATAAAGTGCTATATTTTCTATTCAAATAGAATTACAACTTGTTTCATATCACTCAGACATCAAAGTGTAGTTTAGAAAAATGAATACTGGACATCTTTATATTTTAGCATTATTTTAAATGGAACTAATTTTAAAACATTGCGAAAATAATTTAGCCTGATACTTTAGTATTAGTTTTGGAGTTATCATTTAGTCATTTTAATTACATTAAATTTGATAGCCCCATCTAAATAGAATATTTCAAAATTAATTTGCGTGTCGAAACACGAACTACTAATATATAATAAAAACTACTATAAATGAAAAAAATGGTGCCAAATGCTTATTTATATTTAATTAATTCATAATTTTTTATGCATATTATTTTATCGAATCAATTTTATACATAATATGACCTTTTAGTACACACGCGATTTCAGTTTTGAAAGAGATGCATTTATTAACATTCATACCTTCTTTTCTTATTGAGAAGCAGTAAAATACTACAGTCGCACGACAGAGCTGACAAACACATTTTTTATGCTAAAATGTCCGTGCAGATTGTGGCCAAGTTACGCGAGTGCCCACAATAACTTGGGCACGCTGGTGCTGGCATCGGGGAGGGCGGAGCACCACTTCCTTCAAGCTCTTAAATACAACAAAGACCACGTTAACGCTCATTATAATCTCGCTAAATTATACAGGTAAAGTTTTTAGTATTTTAAATAGAATTATTGCAAGGGTTTTTTTACGGTTATGTGGGTAGACGAGCTCACAGCACACCTGGTGTTAAGTGGTTACTGGAGCCCTTAGACATCTACAACGCAAATGCGCCACCCACCTTGAGATATAAGTTCTAAGGTCTCAGTTTGTACAGTACAATGACTACTCCGCCCTTCAAACCGAAACTCAATACTGCTTCACGGCAGAAATAGGCAGAGCGATGGTACCTACCCGTGCGGACTCACGTGAGGTCCTACCACAAGTAATTACGCAAATTATAATTTTGTGGGTTTGATTTTTATTACACGATGTTATTCCTTCACCGAGGAAGTCAATCTTGAACGATTGTTAAGTAAGTATTTCATTAGAAAAATTAGTTAGAAAAAAGCGTTGGAATTAATTTATTGGTTGGCTGGAATAAAGAATACCTGGGATAAAATGGGGATGATCTAGCACTACGGTTGGTGATGAAGAGTTAGTGGTTACTTGTTCTATGTAGTTGGAAGCACACGTCTACATTTTAGTAACTGGGAAGTGATTGAGAATTTTGAGAAGATGTTAGGTTGAATGAAGTTGATGTGAAGTTAGGTGGCGACATTGACCGTGCAGTACCTATTGTTTCCGGTAACTACCCAACACTGGGAGTGCTCTGATTTTGTTTGCATCAATAAATAAAGGGTTAAAATTATTACAAATGCACTTTATAATTTTCCCGCCAGTAGGTAAATCTTGTGTGTTGTTTACATTCTGTGTGTGATTCAGAATATCAAATATTTGTTAAAAACAAACGCACATCGCTTATTGTCTCGTTTTTATCTACAAGGATGTAATCTAAGGTCGTTGTAACTCGGTGAGTCGTTCTTAGAATAACGAAAGATATCAAGTATTTTTTGATGATGCATATTTATAATGTTTGCGACATGGAGTTCAGCCGCGCCCCTGACACTCTTCCTATTGGTAAAAGAACTTGGCACTCAGGTCGGGCTGCCGTGAAGGTCATGCTCAATCTTCGGACGCATCTTCGAGAAGATGTTTCATAAATTCCTATTAACACAAAAAAACGAATAATATAACCGTTTTAATTGACTAAAACACAAAATCACCAATCTTTCCCAGCTTGCAAAGCAGTGAAAGACCAACGTGGTTTATTAAAGTCATTATTATCGGTGTATTTCAATTAGAAGTTCACATTCTACTCTTCTCCTTTGCCTCTTCCTCCCCCAGTAATGGACGGATGTATAATTCTTGCATTTTCGCTCTGTTAAATCTATACTAATATATAAATCTACAGTGTTTTTTACGGATGTTCCGTTATAACTACTGAACCATGCATTTGCAATTGTCGTAAAAAGGGATACAAAGTTTTTGCTTCACGTATTAATATATAGATGTCTTCCAATATTATGAGTTATTTTTTTTGTTTGTCATCAGAAAGAAGAATAGAATACCGGAGGCTCTTAGGATGTTGGAACGTTGCATCACATTAGAACCAAGATTCGTTCAAGCGTATCTGGAACTGTTACTCATGAAACCGGATCAAGAGAAGAGGTGGATCTTGAACAAACTGCTAGAGTTAGAGCCCTACAACTGGGAGCACTATCTTCTTTATGGAAACTGGCTGAGAGGACGAGGTGAGGATGATAGCCGTAGCGTTCCATATCATGCGTGTAGTTTTTAAATTGAATTCGCTAAAATAATGTATGACAGAATTACTCCCTTTTAAAAGATCTAAAAAAAAGTTCGCGACAGTATCAGTATCAGTCTATATGTTAAGGTTGGCTCACTATAACGTTTTTTATGCTAACAAAATTTGTTCTAAAATAAAGCATTATTTCTGAACTATTTATTCCACGCGGACGAAGTCGCGGGCAAAAGCTAGTCTTAAATAAATCTCCATAAGCGTCCTACCTATTTTTGCTGTAAACCATTCGCACGTTCCAAACTGAACATCGGGGCAACTATAAAACAATACATTTTTAAGCTTCGACTTTAACATCGCCTTAAAACATTAAAATACTCATAGATTTTCCTCTTTGTTCTTAGGTCTTCTCCCGTTATCACTAGAATACTATAGAACAGCGATGCGTCTGTCATTCAGTACGCGACACAACAGTCCGAGGGGCGAGTTACTGTCGCTGCGAGCTGCATGCCTGGCGCTACGCGACACCGGCCAGTACGCGAGGATGCTGCAGCTATTAGTCAGGTATATTATACTTTGCTACAGCTAAAATGGTTTTTCGATTATTACCATTGTTGATGTCTGTGGGCGACAGTAGTCATAGTCATTTACTGGTGGTAGAACCTCTTGTGAGTTCGCGCGGGTAGGTACCACCACCCTGCCTATTTCTGCCGTAAAACAGTAATGCGTTTCGATCTGAAGGGTAGGGCAGCCGTTGTAACTATACTTGAGACCTTAGAACTTATATCTCAAGATGGGTGGCGCATTTACGTTGTAGATGTCTATGGGCTCCAGTAACCACTTAACACTAAGTAGGCTCTGAGCTCGTCCAACCATCTAAGTAATAAAAAAAAAACAAAAAAAGTAATATCGGAGCCCATAGACAATCAAAAAAGTAAAATGCCACCACCAACCTTGAGACAAGAATTCTAAGTCTCCGTTTTTACAGCACAACGGCTGCCGCACCATTTACGTCGAAACTGCTTCAAGACAGAACTAAGTATCACAAGAGATCCTACCAGCAGTAAATTAATACATTTTTTTTTAATTATTCCTTCATCGTAATAAATCATTCATTAAGTAGGTAATTCATTAAAAAAATGTGTACCTGCTTGCGGAATGTGAACGCTGGCACTATCGCACCACTCGATACGAAAACACCGGGCGTCTTATCCTTTAGGCCGCGACGACTGATATATAATGTGTAACAACAGATACAAGAACAATAAACAGAGAACAGAACAATGATAATGTAACAACAGGCCCGGGAGAGGTCGTATGCGCATAGAAATAATGTAATACAATAATGTGTCAACGAGCCTTGCCCTCTCTTCTTCTTAGTCATTTGCACTGTTGACAGAGTGGGCACGTTTATAAGTTCGGGTGGTGGTGCGCTTCACAAGACGTCGCCATTCCTTGCGTACCGTGCTCTTTCTTGCGCACTCGTTGACTTCTTTTTTTCATTGCTAAGATGGGTGGACGAGCTCAAAGCCCGTCCGGTGTTAAGTGGTTACTGGAGCCCATAGATATCTACAACGCAAATGCGCCACCCATCTTAAGATATAAGTTCTAAGGTCTCAAGTATAGTTACAACAGCTGCCCCATCCTTTAAACCGAAACGCATTACTACTTCACGGCAAAAAGGCAGGGCGGTGGTACCTACCCGCGCGGACTCACAAGAGGTCCTACCACCAGTAAAAGTTCTTCTCATTAGTTCGATATTTGTGTGTACAGATGGCACGCAGGTCGAGGCGGGCAGCCAGCCGGGGCTCGTCTGCTGGCGGCGCGAGCCTGGATCCTTCGCTCCCAGCTGGCGCGGCGTGCGGCGCTCTACTCCCACACGCATCGACAGGTCCTTGACAACTTGTCCAACGCAATTTTATTTCCTACCTATGCTGATAGCCTTGAGAGGTATTTCAGCTTCACCCTAACGTGTGTAGGTGAGCCCACGGGGCTCAAATCGGAGTGTTGCTAACACTGACCCTAGCAAGAGCAGTGCTTCGCAGAATCTACCACCCGATCGGAAACGCGACCCACTGAGAAGATCCGATGAGAAACTCAGTTGGCTGTGTGTATGGGTTAATTCACTCGCCGAGCCCTTCGTAGCAGGCGACGGGTTCGACGAGGACGGTGACCGGTGCTTGTTGCGTTGGACCAACACAAACATCTCCACTTTTATACCGGATACTTTGTGGCCGAAATCAACTCCGATAACGCAATGTGTATGAAGGCGATGGTATTAAGGAGATATCGGTATTTTCTGAGGATTCAAATAAAGAATTTGTGGATTCAAATCTTCGATCAATAATACTACTAGATTCGCGATTAGCGCTTCAAAAGCGGCCCGAAAAATAAGACCACAAATAAATTTGTGGTCTTATTTCAAATTAGTATGGTCCAATCATAGCCAACACTAAGACGTCAAAACGCTGCAATGCGCGTTCAAAAACTGAGTAAAAAACCACCGTAACACCAAGGTTTTGGAAGGNTCAAACAATCACGTCCCGCGAGCTCACACGCACGTCTGCTCCGCATGTTCCAGGTATCGCCAAGATTCACCCCCAACAAGGAAGAGGAAAGGGAAGGAATAACACTGGCTCTCCAACCCACACGCCGGAACACAGCTAGGCTATTTGGCGGCGGACTCTAGTTGGAGGGTGGTCGCCAGCCAGTCGGACAAGTCCTACCACCGATTATGAATTCGGCTCCCGTTTTGCACCACCCAGGGGTCACTTGTAGGGAATCGCGGGTAAAACCTACGGAAGCGGGAAGCAATCGACCCCCAATGGTTTGACGAACTGCAGCGGCTTGGCTCTGCCCCTGGCATTGCTGAAGTCCATAGGCGACGGTAACCACTCCCCATCAGGTGGGCCGTATGCTCGTCTGCCTACAAGGGAAATAAATAAAAAAAAGAACTCACAGTCCACCTGGTGTTAAATGGTTACTGGAGCCCATATACATCTACAACGTAAGTGCGCCACCCACCTTGAGATATAAGTTCTAAGGTCTCAGTATAGTTACAATGGCTGCCACACCCTTCAAACCGAAACGCATTACTGTTTCACGGCAGAAATAGGCAGAGCGGTGGTACCTACCCGTGCGGACTCACAAGAGGTCCTACCACCAGTAAAAGTTCTTCTCATTAGTTCGATATTTGTGTGTACAGATGGCACGCAGGTCGGGGCGGGCAGCCAGCCGGGGCTCGTCTGCTGGCGGCGCGAGCCTGGATCCTTCGCTCCCAGCTAGCGCGGCGTGCGGCGCTCTACTCCCACACGCATCGACAGGTCCTTGACAACTTGTCCAACGCAACTTTTTTTTCCTACCTATGCTGATAGCCTTGAGAGGTATTTCAGCTTCACCCTAACGTGTGTAGGTGAGCTCACGGGGCTCAAATCGGAGTGTTGCTAACACTGATCCTAGCAAGAGCAGTGCTTCGCAGAATCTACCACCCGATCGGAAACGCTACCCACTGAGAAGATCCGATAAGAAACTCAGTGGGTTGTGTCTTTGGGTTAATTCGCTCGCCGAGCCCTTCGTCGCAAGCGACGGGTTCGACGAGGACGGTGACCGGTGCTTGTTGCGTTGGACCAACACAAACATCTCCACTTTTATACCGGATACTTTGTGGCTGAAGTCAACTCCGATAACGCAATGTGTATGAGGGCGATGGTATTAAGGAGATATCGGTATTTTCTGAGGATTCAAATAAAGAATGTGTGGATTCAAATAAAGCTGTGCATGAAATAAAGATTATTGACCATCAAGCCCGCATAAATTATAATAGAACTAGCTAACCCGGCAGACTTCGTAGTGCCTCAATCGATAAATAAAAGACCTAAACTTTTGTATAAAATAAACTTATAACAAACAAAAGGAATCTGTCCGACGGGGACACATCAAAGGAAAAACAAAAATTTTATTTTTATTTAATTCCGAGCATTTTCATGAATTTATCTACCTTTTAAACCTTCTCTGGACTTCTACAAGTAATTCAAGACCAAAATTAGTCAAATCGGTCCAGCCGTTCTCGAGTTTTAGCGAGACTAACGAACAGCAATTCCTTTTTATATAATATATAGATAGATTTTTGATGATTAGTCAATATTTATTTACACATACGGATTTAATGAAAAAAAAATATTTTTCACAGATGACATCAACATGCCTACACCACAGCCAACTGGAGGTGTCGCCGGAATTATACGTAGATTTTAAACAACAAGACGTCAAACCTAGTTCAAGGCTACACGCGCACGACGCGAAACTTCCCACCACTAATAGCGTAGAGAAGAATTGCCAAAAAACCCATGAAAAAAGTGTCCTCTCAGCCCAGTACAAACCGACTCATAATAAATCTGAAACAGGTCATAAATTGAAAAGTTGTCCTCTGAATAAAAAGAAGGAACGTCGAATAAAAGATCCGGAGACTTTTCCATCTTTTGTTTCGGATCATTTAATTAAGACGTATTAATTTAATTTCATATTAAAGAGGCTTCATTTACTTTGGACCAAAATTAAAAATATACTTTGATATTAAAAATAGGTTTACTGGTGGTAGGACCTCTTGTGAGTCCGCGCGGGTAGGTACCAACATCCTGCCTATTTCTGCCGTGAAGCAGTAATGCGTTTCGGTTTGAAGCGCGGGGCAGCCGTTGTAACTAAACTGAGACCTTAGAACTTATATCTCAAGGTGGGTGGCAGCATCTACGTTGTAGATGTACTCCGGCTCCAGTAACCACGTAACACCAGGTGGGCTGTAAGCTCGTCGACCCAAATAAGCGATAAAAAAAAAAAGATTTGGGAATTTTCGACCACAAATTAGAACTAGCTGCATACTAAGGATCGGAATTTGATATCTCAGACGCGTCCTACCAAGGTAGTTTTAATTATTGGTCCACAGTGTATGAAAGTACCAGCATATGAAACGCTGTTGATATCCTTCACAGTGAACAATGTTCCTTTTGCTGTAACTATCGTAAAATATTTTTTAACGAAAGACTAGTCGAGAAAAAGACGTGAGATTATATATTACATGACATTAACTTCAATTTGTGCCATTAAAAATGTAAATAAATAACGTTATTTAAGATAATATAATGCTATTCCTGTATTTTATGAATTATTGTGACTTCACTTATTTTACAATTTACATACACCCATTGTAATTTGACCGTCAATATATACCTAACTTGTCCTCTTTAGTAATTCAATTTCACATCTCGGTTTCATTTTGTGACGATCCAAATGAGAACTATTTTTGCTATCAGCATAACACGCTGTTGTAGTGTTCAAATTCTAATTTAGCCACATAATTATTTTTACAATAACAGTAATTTTCTGAATTTACTTTTAATACAAAGCTTTTGGATAAATAAATATTTTTATACACCACGTGGAATAGACTTAGTTGGATAGTGCCACAGCTTCGTCATATTTTTGTCCTGGATGATTCATCCTAGAAAGACCCAAAATACTATCGCGATGCAGTTACTGGTGGAAGGTGGCCTTATGTGCCCACACGGAGAGATACCACCATCCTGCCTATTTTTGCCACATAACAGCATTCCGATTTGAAGAGTGGGGTAGCCGGTGTAATATTAAACGAAAATTTAGAACTCATGTCTCAAGGAAGGTGGCGGCATTATCATTTTTGATATCTATGGGCTTCGGTAAGCACTTAGCATCAGGTGGTGGTCATCAGGTGAGCTCAAGTTCGATCAAAGAAGATGTCGATACTTGCCATCAGGATTTACAGCCTCGGGAGGTTTTTCATCTCCATGTATTACCTATTGAATTGGACATATATCTCAACTGCCACCAAAGGTCACGACTTCGCTGTGCTCTTGGATACTTACTGGTGGTAGGACCTCTTGTGAGTCTACGCGGGTAGGTACCATCACCCTACCTATTTCTGCCGTGAAGCAGTAATGCGTTACGGTTTGAAGGATGGGGCAGCCGCTGTAACTATACTTGAGACCTTAGAACTTATATCTCAAGGTGGATGGCGCATTGACGTCGTAGATGTCTATGAACTCCAGTAACCACTTAACACCAGGTGGGCTGTGAGCTCGTCCACCCTAAGCAATAAAAAAAAATATAAAAAACTTGAAGAAGTTCAGTGAATATTTATGATCTAGATTAAATGTTTATTTGTGATCAGCAATGACAATATTTTGAACAATAGTCTGGTGTTATTGTCTTGATGTTTCCAAATATCAGTGAATATATGAGGTGGCTTTTCCGCCTATCAACCTTCGATTCGCCGAATATTAATTTGATTTCAAAACTGACTCAAAGAACAAGTCTCAGACAAGGAAATAATGCTTAAGTATTACATTTATGGTATTATAAATAAGAATTTGTAAAAAATGTACATAAATTGAGCTAGTATTTTAATGAAAAGACCACAATTATATCGTTTTAATTATAAATCGTATTGCTTGCAATAGCCGATATTGATAATTTGGTAATGTTGTTTTAAATATATGAAATGTGACAAGAATTTGATTTTTAATGTATTTTCCTTGTCAGTTTGTAAATTCCTGCTTAAACTTGCAGCATCAAGCAACGCAGAACGTGGTTACATCTAATGGTATCTTCTTTTTTTTTCCTACCTATGCTGATAGTCTTGAGAGGCTATTTCAGCTTCGTTCTAACATATAGGTGAGCTCACGGGGCTTAAACCGGAGTATTGCTGATACTGGCCCTAGCAACAGCAGTGCTTTGCAGAATCTACCACCGGATCGGAAATGCGACCTACTGGGAAGATCCGGCGAAGAACTCAGTGGGCTATGTCTATGGGTTAATTCGGACGGTGACCGGGGGTGTCTTCGATGTATTCTGATACGTATATAAAGTGACGAGAGATGTCAGTCAGTGGCTGTTTATGTTGCTGTTCTACATGGAACTAATTCCTACCTGATATACGCATATCATAAAGTGAATAAATATACTTGAGTCATGGAGTCAAATTCGCNATCCGGCGAAGAACTCAGTGGGCTATGTCTATGGGTTAATTCGGACGGTGACCGGGGGTGTCTTCGATGTATTCTGATACGTATATAAAGTGACGAGAGATGTCAGTCAGTGGCTGTTTATGTTGCTGTTCTACATGGAACTAATTCCTACCTGATATACGCATATCATAAAGTGAATAAATATACTTGAGTCATGGAGTCAAATTCGCAACAGCATTATAAATGGTTGTCTTAGCCTCAAACCGGAACCTATGACTTCTGGTGGTGTGCATAGGCATGATGCAGTATATAAGCTCAAAATATGTAAGACTAGTAATTATACAAATTTGTTTTTTTTGTCTTAGATGGATGGAAGAGCTCACAATCCACCTGGTGTTAAGTGGTTACTGGAGCCCATAGACGTCTACGGCGTAAATGCGCCACCCACCTTGAGATATAAGTTCTAAAGTGTCAAGTATAGTTACAACGGCTGCCCCACCCTTCAAACCGAAACGCATTACTGCTTCACGGCATTGTAGTGTTAACGTAACGTTTGTCCTCAATACAATCAAATGTAAGTGTGGATTACACGAATAATATTTCAAAAGCACCTGATACACTCAATACCTTTTCATTGAAAGACCGAATCTTGCTAAATCGATTACAAAACATTAATTTAACAAATAATTAACGATCAACATTGGACAGCAGAAAAAGACTATTGCTGACATTTTAATAGAAAAAAAAAACAACTTGAATTTTAGATACGAAAAGTTGCGTCTGCGACTCAGTACAGAAATAGATCTTTAAAGACCTTGACGGAATGAGGATTTTGTTTATTACTATTTAATTATTAATAGATTAATCATTATATAATTATTAATGTTTATTTACTTATTATTTTGTTTATTAATAAGCAGATGGATCTGGTGTTGGATTTTTCAGCTTCACTGTGTAAGATATAGTTCAAAATATTTTGCTTAGTCCACAATATCCAGAGATTTCAATTCTGCTCATTTCCTGTTAGTAACGTAGTGCTACTGACTAGTGTTGTGGCAGAAAACGCGTGAACTCTTTTCATCAATGAAAAACAAAAAAAAAAATTTGTTATTACATTAGATTGCCGCCTCTATCAACGCTTACATGATCTAACTAGGTGAAAAGTTCAAAGTATTACTTACTGTATACACAATGTCTGTAATAAGTTTTTGTATCAATTTCCTTGACCAATATTCTATTGTAGCTGCAATAGTTCGGTTTTTGTCGCAAATTAAAAATGAATGTCGTTACTCCGATGTCATTGCAGCTTTATTCTGACGGCGTGTTCGCTTAAAATGGCTGGATTAAAAATGAAAGTGGACAGCAATAGTAGCAGCAGAGCTCGTCAGTTTGTCTTTTTTCATAAATTTTTGTTATTGCTTTGATAGGCGGACGAGCTCACAGCCCACCTGGTGTTAAGTGGTTACTGGAGCCCATAGACATCTACAACGTAAATGCGCCACCCACCTTGAAATATAAGCTCTCAGTATAGTTACAACGGCTGCCCCACCCTTCAAACCGAAACGCATTACTGCTTCACGGCAGAAATAGGTAGGGTGGTGGTACCTACCCGTGCGGACTCACAAGAGGTCCTACCACCAGTAGAAAAAAAGGAGGTCCTGTTTTTGAAAGGCATAATTTTATTAAGTATCTGGTTATGTTATTTTAATCCACCACTGTGACGGTTCAGTTGTCTTCCTGTGTAAGTAGACTGAGGCTTTGGACTTGATTTCGTTTTCGGACTGAGGCTTTCAAAAACAAAATCAAGTAGATTTAAAGCAAAAACCACCGAGAATTAAATCGTTAACTTCATTTATAACGTTTCTTAGTACGCTTCTTCGTAAACTCGAGCGAAGTCACGGGATTAATTACAGCAAAAACCAGAATAACACTTCGTTCCGCACGAACAAACCGACCGGACCACATTTCAAACGAGTGCATCTACAGATGTCAAGTGCCGAAGCTATTACATCTATAATTTCGTATTCAAATTGCTATAAAAAACTATTTCCTATTGTTATAATAGATTTACGTTGCGTATTGTTGGCTCAATAAGTCGTGATTTTAATAATAATTTTAATAACTACAAAGAATCGGTTTGTGATGGAGTTACTGGAATTTTTATTTCTTTTATTTTATTGCCACTGTAGGCAGATAAAATAGCCCACCTGATTATAAGCCGTCACCATCGCGCATGGGCATCAGCAGTGCCAATAGCAGAGGCAAGCCGCTGCCTACTGAAGCTAGGTGTTCTAACGATATTGGAAATTTGACCTGATGTCGCAATTCCTATAAGCACTTCTGATTGCTAAGGACCGAGAACCCCCTTATCGTAGCCACTGATAACTACATATCCGATCCTGCGGACCATATGGTAAACAGTCGACGTCACCCTAAACACATCACTTCAGATTCTCTCGATCTACTAACGGTGCTTTTAGGTACCACAAGCACCGTTCACCGTTTTCGTCGAACCCGTCGCTTGCGATGAAGGTCTCGGCGAGTAAATTAACCCACAGACACAGCCCACTGAGTTTCTCACCCGATCTTCTTAGTGGGTCGCGTTTCCGATCCGGTGGTAGATTCTGCGTAATACTACTCTTGCTAGGGCTAGTGTTAGCAACATCCTCAGATTAGAGTCCTGTGAGATCACCTACTGGCCCGGAGAATCTAGTATTATCCCTCGAGTTTACTAGAATAGGTAAGAAAAAAACTCGTGTGGCACTCGGGGACTGCCGCGGTAAAGCTATTGCATTTTTTTATTTTTTTTTCCACAGGAGAAAATCGCCGGATCCCCACCCGCGCGGCAGGTGGGGTATGTGGGAGTTGAACCTCACTAAAAACTCCTGCCGCTCACAACCGGCGCCCTACCTCGGACCGGGCCGGAGCCCAGTCGGGGCTATTGAAACGGCGGGACAGGGTTGACGCAGAGCACATTACATCCATCCCACCGTGCCACGGACGCCGGACCGGTGGCCGCCAGCGACACGACCACCGGTTCCCTCGTTCAGCGGGCCGAGAGCCCGCTTTGATGGCGCCGCGTTACACCTTCCCCCAGAGCGGTCGGGGGAACGCGGTCTACCATCACCCGGCTTCCTATTGCGGGTGAGCGTGCAAAGCACGCCACCCCACGTCTGGGTCTCTCCCCGCACAAANAGCGGGCCGAGAGCCCGCTTTGATGGCGCCGCGTTACACCTTCCCCCAGAGCGGTCGGGGGAACGCGGTCTACCATCACCCGGCTTCCTATTGCGGGTGAGCGTGCAAAGCACGCCACCCCACGTCTGGGTCTCTCCCCGCACAAAACGGGTGGGACCCCTAGCTCTTAGGGGGCCAGGTCACGGATACGACCCCGGTCCCGACCCCAAAGCTATTGCATAGCATTTTTTAGCAACTTATGCAATTATAATTAGACAATGGTAATTTAATATTAAAACAATAATAAAATAAGACCACGCTATATTTATAAGCATTAACAAAAGTAAAAAATTAACTGTCCCCTTGACACTCATAAGCTGACCGCGCGAGAGGGGGATGGGCAGACTTTTCATGATGCGCATGCAGTGCGACGTCACATCATCATTATTATCATCATCTCAGCCTGTCCATTGTCCACTGCTGAACATAGACGTCACGCCGCGCGCTTATTCACAAACACTACAACGTGTGAAAGTGTTGAACGCGAGCTACATGGTAGGCGGAGTGGGGGTGTTAGGTTTTATTTTCGTTACGGAATATTTTGATTCAGTCATCGGGATAAAAGCTATGCAATAGCTTAAAAAAAGGACCGAGTTAGTGGTTCTTATATTTATAGCTGTAGATGAAAAGATTAAGTTAGAGTAACCCTGATGCTAGGTGCTTTTTAGAGTCTACAGACGTTATAACATGAAGTCCTCGTTCATCTTAAAGTATGCGTCGAAGTCTCAGCTGTCGTGATATAAATAAAGTAGATAATCATGCTCATACGATAGCATTTCGTACCTTTAACAGCGGACGGTGTGCTAAGCTAACTTAAAAAAGGGAAACCCTTCCGAAATCAAGATCTAGCACGGACTGATCCACTGTCAGTCTTAAACCTGCAACTGTTGATCAAAAGGCACGTTCGTTACCGCTATTCCACAATAAAATCGTGTACAACAATATTAACATTGTGACAACGTCTTTGACGTCAAACACCAGTTGCTACGCAATTTTAATATAAACAATCACTTAGTTTACCTTGTGTTCGCTTGTAGGGATAAGTAATTTGTAATTTGTGCTTCCAAAATTATTAGATCTTTAAGTTTGAGGCCTGGAGGCTAATTGTTACCTTTTGTGAGACTAACTAACTTAAGATTAATGGGTAAGATAAGAGGTCGCAGTTCGTCGCAGTATTTGATAAATAGTCGGTAAGAACCCGCTTATCGATAAATACATAACTTCACGATCCACCGCAAAACGCCAAGTTACATTATTATTAGACTATTAGTGTAAATATCGTGTCAAGCAACGGACGTTTTTGCGCTGATTTCGTGGTGAGTAGAAATGAAATATGTAGTTATGGTAAAAATCTGTTTTTTTAGTCTTCTTATTAATAAAATAAATATTTTCAATATTTGCCGATAATGCAATAATATTTTTTTTCACAAAAATTCATTTCCCCAACTAAAGAGAGAAAAATATTCTTAATATCACGATGGCAAGTAATGAAAATAAAAAATAATATAAATTCGGACGTCAAAGATAAATGTGGACATTGATATATTACAATTGTATTTTTGCTAAGGGCATCCCTATTTATTGCATGACAAACATAAACAAAAGTAGTTAAACATAATGCAAGATAATAAACTATAAAAGGGAACTTGGTAACACTGTTGTTACTAATCTCGTTTACAAACGGTACCTAAAGCTATGTTTATCTTTTAGCTGTGAGAAAATGTAAAATGTCATTTAATTCTTCATATAAATGTAATTATTCGGAAGTTCGATATTAGTTTGCTGTATTTAATTGTGAAAGGTCGGTATACTAAAATTAAAAAATATTTTTAATTCACATTCTTCGAGGGTAGTTCGAAATTTAATCCATTCGTAATTCGCGAATCAAAGCGCCACAGTTATACGGTATTACGCAATTACCTTTGACCGCAATCAGTAAAAGTTTTACCTGTCTCACGGCCGTTTTCACTTAGTTCGAAAAATCACGAAAATCTGCGATTCGCACCACCCGCTATTCAACGCTTTCTACGCTTGGCCTGTGACCGGAGCGACGCAGTGGTGGCTGCACGCCCAAACTGAACGCTCGCTTGCACTAAAACAGTTCTAATCGCGATTTTCGCAACGAATCCTGTGTGTCAACAGTGAAAGGTTCCTAAGTATATAACAAAAAAACAAAATTTTTGCAGCGCATTGACAGCGCAAGATGCGTTCGATAGTCTGGCTGCTGCTGGTGGCGGTCGCGGTCGCTGAGGTCGTCGACGAACCGTGGTACGAAGAGGAAGATGTCGACGAGTCCTACGATGACGATGATGCGAGCTACCGGAAGAAGAGAGAAGTGTATGACCCCAACATCGATCATCATCGAGTCAAACGTTGCTGTGAATATGAAAAGTCAAGAAAACGACGCTCGCCAGCTGTCAGAGCACCAAGACAGGTTCATCACTACGAAGTACACGAGTTTACAGATGAAAGGTTGGGTCCGGCGTCACCTCCGTACGAGGAAATGCTGGCAGCAAGTGCTGATCATTATCAAAGGTACGCCGTGCCTCCAAAGTCTGCAAGATATTTGGACCATTCCGTTAACCACGTTTCTGGTGCCCATGTTCCGCTCAAAGCAGCCCAGATAAACTTATCTCCATCAGAATCAGTACAATTCGTTCCTATTGCTACTGATCCGATTACAGTTGTGAATGTAGACGGTCCAGCACCAATACATTCAGGACCTTTAACACAATCACCGAAAAAACTTGATGGTGGAGATCTTTATGGAGCCGCCGCAGGAAATCATCATAAGCATACTCACGGACATGGACATACGCAAGGTGGAGGTCATGCGAACCATGGGAATCATCATGCAGAACATGGTGGCAAGGTATGTTTTCAAAACTAAACTTTTGAATATTGCTTTTAAGTTTTTGGGATCTAAAAGTTTTTTCCTTGTTTTTTTTTCCTTTTTCCTTAGTTTTTATCACTTTTGCTGATAGAGGAGGTTACGGTTAGGCCGAGGCCTACGATTTTATAATATTTATATGGGTGGATGAGCTCACGGCCTATGTGATGTTAAATGGTTACCAGAGTACATAGACATCCCACCCCATAAAAAATACAAATGCCACCATCCACCATGGACACGAGTTCTTAAATTTTATGTGTAACGGCTGCTCTTTTTTTTGCCCTAACCTTCAAACCGAAATGCATCATTGGTTCATAGCAGAAACAGAGTGGATGGTGGTGCCTACCCATGCGGGTTCACAATACTCCTTGCCAGCAGCAAAAACTTGGAATTCCTCGTTTGTTGCAGGACAATTTGTCTTGTCAAGGAATTATTATATAAGTTTTTAAAATACTCAATGTACTTAGTTTGGTTGTCAGCTGCTGGGCTTCCGCTTAGATAGGAAAAAAATCTGATTTTATCTGATTATGTTTCTGAAAAATTTAATTTAATTGCGTAACGTAAAGCTAATTGTATATATTTTTTTTATAATATTTTTTTTTGTTTTTTTATACTGGTGGTAGGACCTCTTGTGAGTCCGCACGGGTAGGTACCACCACCCTGCCTATTTCTGCCGTGAAGTAGTAATGCGTTTCGGTTTGAAGGGTGGGGTAACCGTTGTAACTATACTGAGACCTTAGAATTTATATCTCAAGGTGGGTGGCGCATTTACGTTGTAGGTATCTATAGGCTTCAGTAACCACTTAACACCAGGTGGGCTGTGAGCTCGTCCTCCTAAGCAATAATATGAAATAACTATTTTTATTTTACGTTCTCTCGTATTTCACAATGGCATCGAACACGCGATGTAAGATTCCCAGGCCATTGTTTAATAACCAAACATTATTGAGCTAAACAATGTAAGTGTAAGTAATATGTGCCATTGAAGTTTTTTCTGTCTGGTGACGTTACAGCCTAAATATTCAACTGTGGCAAATAATTCGTTTATTAATAAAAGGTTACACTCTATGTGATCTACGCTTGTATATTTGAATACTTGAATGTTTTATGCTCACTAATGTTAATGGATTTCTATAATGGCACTGAAGGTGATCTTTTATGGATAATTCCTTAGGGATGAAATTTTCAAAAAGCTACAGTCGCATTTTCAGCCATCTAAGTCTTGTTGTTTATTCTGATCATACAAAACAACGTTTTGAAAAACCCAGGGCGCTGACAAATCAATTGGGGCTTGTTGCTTTATACAAAATGGTGATTTCCGTACCATACAATAACACCAAAGCATACATTGCCGTGGTACTTTGAAAACCAAACAGTAGTGAAGTTCTTTAAAAGAGTTATTTGCAGTAGGACTATGTATAGCATTGATGTACTGGCAGACAGTAGCCTCGGCAATATAGACTGATAGTTACTATAATAATTATTTCGGATCCTCGTCCTTCGATGGTAAAAAATTAAACACATTTAAAATTTTCAGACAACCAAGGGCTTTAGTACGGACCACTTCGTCGACAAAGGTGGCAAAGGGTACAAAATAGATGAGCATCACAAGAAAGAGTACGAGGACGCCGGTGGAAACAAGAAAAAGCATCACGACCACGCCGGACACCAGGGCAGCCATGAGGAAGAAGCACATGGCTCTAGGGGATCACACTTCGGTGAAAAGAAGGGACACAAGAAAGGGCATAAGACCAAGGGTAAATATTTGATAGAGGATTATCAGTTGCTGGGACCCATTACCTCATTAATACCGCAGAATTCCTTGAGAGTCCGACCACCGTTCTCGACGAACTCGTCATATACAACAAATGGTTCGATGTGCAACCTAGCCCATAGACACAGCCCACTGAGTTTCTCGCCGGATCTTCTCAGTGGGTCGCGATTTCGATCCGGTAATCGATTCAGCGACGCTAGTGCTCTTGCTAGCAAATTCTCTCAGGTTGAGCCCGTGAGCTCACCTACACGTCAGGGTGTTAGTGGAATAGTCCCATAGGCTACGTGGGATTAGACAGCGAAAGAAACCTCCAAATTAAAGTCGATTTATCGGCTATTCCATAACTCAAATTCGATAATTGCTTTGCGTCAGAAGTGAACGAGGTGATGGTACGTACTGTTATGTATTTCACAATACGCATAATATTTAGTCTAGTACTACATAATATTAAAGCTATAACAAACATATCTAAAACAGCTATATAATTTGACTTAGAACACGAAAAATTACAAACCACAAAAGCAAAATTACATAGAGTAAACTGACTAGGATGCTTACAAACTAGTTAATACTTATTTAGGATACTATAAAGCAACGAATCTAATAAATGGCTTCATTATAAATTTATTTTAAAATGAACAATCATGAACAAAAAATATTAGTATAGGCATGAGATAAATGATATTCACGTTACGTATATACAACTAAAGCAACTTCCAAAAACATAATGACTAGAGCTTTTATCCATAAACAAAGCAATTTGTAAATAACAATAAGACAGTGTTATGTATAAAATGAAACTCATTATGGACATTACAATAATACTTGCGGCCAGTGAAAGTTGATTGTTTCTTTTTACGCAAATAAATTCTACTTGCCAGTAAAACATTGACCTCAAACGTAATAGAAACTACTGATTTGATACAGCAATGCTTGTTTAACTATTAAATTGATTTTGTTAAATCTCTCGCCCTGAGATATTTTACGAGCTTTATGTCTTAGTATTGAGATTTGGAGTAGGAATGAGTATGTCAGCACGAAGAGCAAACGAAGCGTTTTCGTAAGCTTTCAGTAGCTAAAATGTAGTCAAGTATAGTCCTAGAACTATGTCTCGTTTTATATAAGCTATTTATTATGCTTATGTATATGTTCAACAGTAGCATCGTGATGATGTATAAATGAACATTTTATTAACTAACAACTACCAATCAAGAATTTAGAATCTATTACTATTAGTATTTGCTTTAAGAAGAGTCCGTGTTTGAAGGTTGGGATAGCTGTTATACTAATAATATTCGGATCCATGTGCCATGATCTACCTACATCAGCATTATAGTAATTATTTTCATGAGTTTTTCTACCTATTTGAGTAAAGAAGGAATTTAAAAAACATTTTTTTTTTAAGCAGGGCTCAAATTATTTCATTACCATGATACGTTTATAAACATAGAGGTAATGTGATACTTTTATATGATAATTACTCTCTGTAGACTTTGGTTTCCCGTCTCCTAAAATAATAATAGAAATGAACAGCATCCCAAATATTTCTAAAAGCAAAACAAAGGAACTTGCTAGTAGTTACAAATATTACACATCAAATTACGTTTAAGAAATCATTTAAGCTGCTGTTATTGGAATCGATTCTGGTCATAAGTGTCATTAAGATGTAATAAATTATCATTTATGTAATAAAAACCCCGACTGTTTTAGCAATAATATCGCTCTATTCGATGTCTATTAAAATTATTAAATAAATATAAACGAGTCTTTCTCAACGTGTTTACAAATAGTATCTTACATAAGTTGCCATGTTGTATTGGTTTGGAAGTAAGTGATATTACGAAAATAATGGGCTATTATAGACAAGCCAGATAATCAAAATTAATTAAAGCAGTTGATAGTTCTAGCATGAATAAGGCACATATTTTTTCCTTGTCCATAATACAGGTAAAATCCAAGCTTCACTATTCCTGATATCTAATTACCCAGTAACAAATAAATAAACTTTGAAATGTACTATCACTTGTGAATTTTTAAGTATTTTTTTTCAAATGGACCTCATGCGGTCTGTTCAAGCAAACAAAAAAGAATAAGAAATTTTGTCCGCAGGCTACCACAACAAATACCATAAAGATGAGTTCCATAAAGAGCATAAGTTCTACGATGACTTCCACAAGAGCGGGGAACATCACAGATACGGCAAGTTCCACGCGAAGCACGCCAGCAACGAGAGCGGCAAGAAGAAAGCTCACAGGGTCGACGCTGGACACGATTACGTCGAGCGAGGGAAGAAAGGATACAGGTATACCTTCATAATAACAGGATTGTTTGTTGATTTTTGAGAGGAAGATGAGGCCGCAGCCAGGCTGCTGTTTAACTGTTAGGTGTCACCCACAAGCATTGTATCAAAATACTTTAACTTAAATTTCCATGTATATTTTAAACTATTGGACCGTAGTTTTTTGACTAATAGCATCTCTGGCGCCCGTCATTGCTTAAGCTAAAAAGTGGTTATTGGAAACATTGGCTATTGTAAAAAAAGGAAAACAACACGAGATTAAATACAAAAATATCAAAGTTTGATCTTTATCGAATCGATTCGATCGGCAATCGATTACAGGAACAAAATCAAACTAAATTACATACTACTACACTATTATACTACAAACCTGTGATACTCATTTCCCGTAAACTGAAATCAAAGTAAAAATAATTGGGCAAGGTTAATTGTTACCTATTACCAAAACATGTGATCACTGATTTTCAATTTGTATTTGCAGCAACAAGGGTCACACGGATGCTGACCACAAAGGTTACGATGGTAAGCGAGGCCATGAAGAACACCACGCTCACCATTCCGACCACGGCAAGAAGGGTGGCAAGGAAGGCGGCTCCCATTGGGGCTATGCCAAGAAGCACTAATTGCAAAACTTGTACAAGTAATACTATTACTGGGTACTATTTAGCCATTTAAGTTATGTATGTTATGAATCAAATAGAGACTGTAAGAGATTTTACTGGTGTAAAACGGAAGCCAACCGAAAATGCATGATTTACATTATTTTTGAAAACTTTGAAGCGGTCCCGTTTTAGTAGTAAAGTTTGGATGATCATGATTGGGTTTTGGGGCTTATTTAGATGGGCAAGATAAAATGTCAATTATTCTGGATGCTAATGAACTTTGTAGTATGGTAATAATATCAAGTAAAAATTTAGTTTCTGTTACAATTGTTATTATGGAATAAGGAATAAATAAAAATAGTCCTCATTCGTTTATAAAACTAATTATTGGAATATTACTTCAATTGGATAAATAGTTCAGGGATTATCTGTTTCTATCTTAAAATTTACTCAGTCTTTTGTATCTTTTATTGTGCCAATGTTTGACCGTAACTTTTCTTCCAGTAACCCTGTTTTAAGGTTTTCCACAATCCCTTGACAAATCAGTCTTACCTACTTACCTTTTACTAAATCGTGATTTTTTAATCTCACTTTTGTGACCAACTTTACATCATGCTTGACTGTTTCTGTCTCCGTTATTACTCCCATAAAATAAATTATTACAAAACATAACGAATGTGTAATAGCAAACCTTAATTACGCCAATCCTTAAAATAAAACAGGTCATTTTTTTTCATTGAAAAAAACTTCAGTGCAATGTTGTGTACATGATCGCGTCATATTGAAAGCATGTTTATTACAAAAACTTCAGGCTATCCTTATAACGACTGTTAATAGAACTTGATTTTATTATTTAAAAAAGTGTTAGCAAGGTTTGGTCTGTGGTGTTATCCATTAGATTCATCATTTTTTATGTTCAGTTTTAAAATGTGACCTGATTTAGGTTTCAAATCATGTACGTAACGAAAATTGATTGGTTTGAAATTGATTTCACAAGTGCTCACGGTTGATAAAATGTTGGCAATGTATCTACATGACATTACCAAAATAATTTCTGTTTAAAAATATTTTCGAGTAAAAAGGGAAGCCGCTTTATCCCTTGGGGCTCATGAAAAGCCCATTGCGTCTTTGACTAAACGTTAATTCTTTAATTATCAGATAAGTTATTCAACAAATATGTTAACTCCAAATACGTTAAGTAATCATGTTAACTGAATTTTTTGAATGATTGTATTCACGCGACTGCAATATATTTCTTATTTTAATATCATTTTAAAATCTTCATATGATAATCGAAAAACTAGCTCTTACAACGATCTAATAAACTTTGAACATAATTAATTAGCTTGAAATGTAATTTGACCTTCTATCCGCAGAGATAGATTGTGTTTTACTTGTATCGATGTTGTAAAAATTAATCCCGGCACAGCGCTGCTTATGTTTTTCAAGTCGAACAAATTCTCGGCAACTTAAAACAAAATATTTAGATGGTGCTAAGATTACTAACTGCGTATATTATATTAATTAACGTTAATATTTATTGTTAATTAATTTAATTTGATATTTTTTTCTTAATAAAAATAAAATTTTGTATGAATCTGTTTTTATTTTTAGATCCGATTTTACATATTTTTTTATTGATTATATGGGCGGACGATTTCATCATTCAACAACTGCCCCATCCTTCAAATCGAAAGGCAGAACTGCTTCAGAAATACTTGTTGGCAGGGTGATGATACCTACCCGTGCGGACTTACAAGACGTCATATCACCATTAATTACGCAAATTACAACTTCGCGGATTTGATTTTTATTACTCGATGTTATTCCTTCTCCGCGGAAGTTAATCGTAAATATTTGTCCAGTACGTATTTTATTAGAAAATTTGGTACCCGCCTGTGAGATTCGAACACCGGCACGGCTGCATTGCTAGATACGAATGCACCGGGCGTCTTATCCTTTAGGACACGACGACTTTCTACAGATTTGTACATGTATTTTAAATGTTCCGATAGAAAAACAACAGCGTAAGACAAGTTCTTTTATTTGTCAGAAAAAGCGGGTAGAAATGGCCGGCAAGGCTTGTTTTATTGGCATATTATAATGTTATATTGGACAGGGAGCGTGCTTATACATGGCTGGGCAGCAGGGCATGGTAGCCGACGTCACGTCCGTTACACATTATAATAAATAATACGTTATTCTGCACATTTCTGCCGCAAAGCACTACGCTCTAAAAGACGTGACTGTTAATCTAGCTATATTTAGCAGCAATAAGCGTAAATATAAATATATTAATATTCAATCGCACTATTATTATCGCACTCACGACGTTTTAAATATAATAAAAACACACATATTGAACCATAAAACTTGTTTAATCACACATAATTTAGTTGATAATCGTATTATCGAAACAAAGCTGTAATTTCTCAAAACCGGAAGATGATAAAAAGCATGGCCGCTGTTGGAAGCACACCAATACAGATTCTGAGGCTGTCGGGCTTAATATGGAGGCTTGCACGGAACCTCACCACCCTTTTTAGGATCAAAATGTTTCACGTAAACAGCGACTGTGTGGTGTGGTCTTCGGGGGAAGAACACGCGCTGACCTGCGTCGTTCACGTAGTCGGCATAATTCATTGACCATTCCCGTCGCATCCCGACTCTTTCGCATATTTTGGATCTGAAATAGGTCAAAAATCTATTCAAGCTTTCTCCGTCCCGAAGAATTCGGTTTAAAGGAATAGTTTATGTATGAACAGAACCAGATTTTGGTTAAATTTGGCTAATGTACAATGGAATTTAATATAGGTAATACAGCTAACTATAAGCTACAGCGAGCTACATTAAAAAATGTGTCATCTTCAAGTTTCTATAGTAAATGAGATCTGAAAATCCTACATTGAATTAATACATTGCTACTAAACTATCTATCGTTACCTTTATCTTTTTTAGATTTAAGATACCTCATTACCGCCATGAACTAAAAGTGGATAAATAACGATGAACTATCAAAAGTTACTAATACATCTGTGCTGATCTATGATGATCCGAGTAAAGCAATTTCAACGTAAGAATTTCAACTTACTGACAGTCATAGGAAATTAGTACTGATTACAGTAAGATACGACGGATAAGGCGCGTACCAATTTTTCTAATGAAATACGTACTCAACAATTGTTTACGATTGACTTCCACGGTGAAGGAATAACGTCGTGTAGTAAAAATGAAATCCGCAAAATTATAATTTGCGTAATTACTGGTGGTAGGACCTCTTGTGAGTCCGCACGGGTAGGTACCACCGCCCCGCCTATTTCTGCCGTGAAGCAGTAATGCGTTTCGGTTTGAAGGGTGGGGCAGCCGTTGTAACTATACTGAGACCTTAGTAGAACTATATCTCAAGGTGTGTGGCGCATTTACGTTATAGATGTCTATGGGTTCCAGTAACCACTTAACATCAGGTGGGCTGTGAGCTCGTCCACACATCTAAGCAATAAATAAATAAAAAAAAAAACACCAGGTGGGCTGTGAGCTCGTCCACCCATTAAAGCAATAAATTTTTTTATACAAAACGTTTAATTTACTATCGAACCATAAGACTATGTACGAGTATAGTCAATTTCGCTAATTATGAAATGCAAGAAAACGAAAACCCTTACGTGTACTGACTGACCGCTACAGTTTGTACCAATGGATGACGCAGCTCATTCGCGTGAGCCAGCGCCGTGCGAAGTAGAAGCGTGGCCAGTCCCTGACCTGTCACTTCTGCTGCGGTCGTCAGTACTTCGACCTGAGTTGATTAGAAAGTTCAATATAACGCAGTCGTCATTATAACGGCATTATTAAGCTAGCTGCATTAAGAATTTGGTTAGCCTTCGACCACTTACGTCATAGATGTAATCAACGTTGTACTTAGCAAATAAGTTCGGGCTCTTCAAACAGTGAGCACAGAAATACATGCGGTGCCTCTCCGGTTTTGAGTCGGTATTGTGAGCCCATTCTTCCAATTCCTTGATTTTCCAAGGTCTGACCGTATTAGCTACGCAGACACCTGCCAATTTCCGTTCGCCTGTCCGTTGGATTCGCTCAAAGGCCAAGAACCGATCTCCTATAAAAAAATAAAGGGACCTCTTGTTAACAGCTTCATAATATTTTAGTGCCTTATGTCATAAAACTTATAGAAGCGTCTAGTACAAACAAATTAGAAAAAAAGGGACTAAAGATCTAAACCTAAAGCGGTGGCTTGACCAAGTTACTCAGATCTTAGAAATGTCGCTCAACGAAGCTGTCTCAAAAATATAATATACGAATAGGTGAAGAGAGACAGTGATAAGACGACAGAAGAGTCCCAACCCTCATAAATAGAGAACAACTAAAANTAAAACTTATAGAAGCGTCTAGTACAAACAAATTAGAAAAAAAGGGACTAAAGATCTAAACCTAAAGCGGTGGCTTGACCAAGTTACTCAGATCTTAGAAATGTCGCTCAACGAAGCTGTCTCAAAAATATAATATACGAATAGGTGAAGAGAGACAGTGATAAGACGACAGAAGAGTCCCAACCCTCATAAATAGAGAACAACTAAAACGAATAAGGTATAAACAAAAGTTGCAAATAGGTTACTACTGGTGCAGGGTACCTGTGTAAAGCGCAATGTCATGCATTCGGGCTTGAAGAATAGGATCTCAGTACAAATCATCTGAAGCCCTTCATAATGTTGCATTGCCAATAGGCTCCAGCAACCACTGAATCACAAATGGACCATGAGTCCATTTACCTATTTACATTATAAAAAATCACTCAACTTACCTGAATTAGAGTACTTTTCAGTCAGAACTTCAAGGTAAGGGCATTCCAAAGACATCCACAGACCAACGACACTGGGCTCCCGAGGCCAGAAGTGAGTGTAGAGGAACGATCGTATTAATTTCGCGTGACATTGGTTGCCGAACTCAATGGATACATTCCGCAGGTCGAAACACTATAAAAACGTGATTAGAATTAGTTCGTAACTCGTGTTTTGATTGTCTACTCGTTTGTGTGTTTGTAATCACAAAAAATGTGTTATGGTGGTTAAAAGTTCCCAGTCTGGACTTTATTGGAATAGCCCCTTAAGCTAGAAACGGTTAGGCAGGGGAAAAAACTCACTCATGTAACTACTCAAGGCGCTTTCTGATTGCTATTCCAAAAGATCTTAGCACCCCTCAGCTTCTTTAGTCTTAATTTGAAGATATTCTAGTATTTGATGTTGATTTCTGAGGTGTTTTAATGTCTTGGGTTATTTCGATAATGAACTAATCACAATGAACATCATTGCTTTAAAATGTTTTAAATCTTAAAGTATTAATTTATATAAAAAACTAGCTGACCCGGCAAACGTTGTGTTGCCTTAAATAAGATTTCTAGGGAAATTCTACTGTAGAAAAAAAAAACCTCATTTAACCACATAATACCTCATTATAAACAAAAAAAATATATCCAAAAAATTAAAATAAACAATAAATGTTTGCGGTGGACAACCCTTTTCACTTAGGGGTATGAAAAATAGATAGTAGCCGATTCTCAGACCTACTGAACATACTATTGATACACAAATAAAACCAAAAAAACATGGCTGAAAAATGTATAGTATTGTATAGCTCTCAAATATATTAAGTGTATAATCTATGATGTATAGTGAGTAAGTAAGACAGGAGANATTGTATAGCTCTCAAATATATTAAGTGTATAATCTATGATGTATAGTGAGTAAGTAAGACAGGAGACCGGCTTCGTCCTCATCCCTACTACGTGATGTTTGCTGGATGAGTGGTGACACCTGGCGGGGATAGTTGATCAGTAGTCGACCGGCGAGGGCGGGAGATCAAATTCAATTTAAAAAAAAACATAATTAAAGGAACTTGAAACTTAAACTCTGAATAAGAATTTATCGTACTACAATTATAATATTTGATTACCATCTTGCAACCTTATTGCGGATCTGTGTATAGAATAAAAAAATATTAATCGGGATGGAAAAATGGGGTTGATCGTATAAGAGTGAAAATTGAGAGTAATATGATTTTTTTTTATTTTAAGTCATGACAAAACAAAATAAAAAACTTGCCAAAAAAATTAAAGTTTATAATTAACAAATAAAAAATAGGGGTTGATCATAGAGGGATGAAAAATTGAGAGTAACATCAGATTTTTTATTTTAATTCATGACAAAATAAAAATGAAAATCTTGCCAAAAAAATTAAAGTTTATAATTAACAAATAAAAAATAGGGGTTGATCGTAGAGGGGTGAAAATTTCAGAGTAATATGATTTTTTTTATTCTACGTCATGACAAAATTAAAACAAAATTCTCACAAAACAATTTAAAGTTTTTAATTAGCAAATAAAAAATAAGGGTTAATCGTAGAAGAGTGAAAATTGAGGATTGTATGTATTTTTGTATGTTGTATCATAAAAACATAAAAATAAAAATGTTTGTCTAAACAATAAAAATAAAAATTTAGGGGTAGACTACCCCTAACATTTAGGGGGATGAAAAATAGATGTTGGCCGATTCTCATAGATACCGGATAAGCACAAAAAATTTCATCAAAATCGGTCAAGCCGTTTCGGAGGAGTATGGCAACGAAAACTGTGACACGAGAATTTTATATATTAGATATTAAAGGTGTCTAAATGTGTTTAGCAGCTTATAATATAAAATGTATACTAATATATAAATCTACAGTAGTTTTTACGGATGTTCCGTTATAACTACTGAACCATGCATCCGATTGATTTGAAACTTGGTATCCATGTAGAAAATACCTGTTCTTAATGGATAGGCTAATATTTATATGCGTGTTGGACTTCCTACACCAGTTGCGGGGGCGTTAATGATGAGAATCTTTGTAGGGGGGAGAAATAATAAATAATGTTAATCTTAAATGGCCAGCGAAGCGGACGGGTACATCTAGTAACTAATAATAACAATCTTTTTCGCTTTTCCATTGCTCTACACTATTTTTTTTACTTAGCGTAATGCAGTCACGTTGATCTAGGTAATCTAAAATGGTGGTCTTTTCTGCCTTCTATGCCAATAACTAGTGTTAAGAAAATGTGAAATGTTACCGGTTTCTTGTCAGTTGGGTAAAGGCAGACGTCACAAGGTGATCGTTTTCGTAAACTCTTGGCTGTGGTGCTGATACTTAATCTATCAACAACAAAAGGTAAACGTAATCCACTTCTTAAAATTTGGAGAGCGTGCATTGTGCAATGTATTTATATTTTTTTAATTTATAAAAAAAATCATGATTGGAATTTGAATTACATATTCATAGATAATATATTTAAATTATGTACATATTTACTCAAATTGACAATACGATTTGATCAAACAGAAACTAAATAAGAATAGCATAGAGTTGAAAGTGAAAACTTAAGTTAAAGAATAATAAAAAAAAGGTTTATTGTTAGTTATTACTAACCACACTCCTCCTAGTACAGGCTTGCATGCTACGCTTAAAAAGAGACTCCAATCATTGTATTATTTTAATTCGCTTTTGAAAATAAAGTATTTTGTATTTTTGTACACTTCGCAGTGTCTATAGCTAAACATGTGAAAACACCCATTTGTTTAAACCGATTATAAAAACGTTTCTCCAACTTTCAACTCAATCGGTTAAAAGGTTGAAACAGAAGAGAGAATGGGAAGAAGATACGTCGTGGTGAAAATACGAAGTGAGTCGTCGTGGCCTACAGGATAAGACGTTCGATGCAATCGTACCATGCGATGCACCGGTGTTTTCCAATTTTTACAAGAAAATACGTACTTATCATTTCGGGTAGGTAGAAATTATATTATTTAAAGGGCGCGGCAGCCGTTGTACTGTTAAAAATGAGACTTTAGAACTCAAGGTCTCAAGGTGGGTGGCGGAATTTACGTTCTAGATGTCTAAGAACTCCGGTTACCCTTTAACACCAGGTGGGCCGTGAGCTCGTCCATCCATCTAAGCTACAAAAACAAAGACACATAACCCACTTTTTATTTTTCCATCTTCCGTTACTTGATTGGTATCGACCATGTCATCTTCCATAGCGATCACAGCCTTCTTCAAAGCATAATTCCCGATCCTGCGGACAGAATGGAAAGCAGTCGACGTCGCCCAAAACACGTCATTTTGGATCCTACCGATCCACTAACGGTGCTTTTAGGTACCTCAAGCACCGGTCATCGTTCTCGACGAAGGGCTCGACGAGTAAATTAACCCACAGACAAAGCCCACTGAGTTTCTCGCCGAATCTTCTCAGTGGGTCGCGTTTCCGATCCGGTGGTAGATTCTGCGAAGCACGGCTCTTGCTAGGGTTCGTATTAGCAACGCCGTCAGGTTTGAGCCCCATGAGCTCACCTACTAGTTAAAGTTACGCTGAAATAGCCTCTCAAGGCTATCAGCTTAGGTAGGAAAAAAAAACAAAGCGTATTCGTACTTACTAGAAACGAGATATTTATGTATTTAATTTTAACTGATATACCGACTCATTACAGGAAGTTAAAATTCCGAAATGCCAATATTGACAAACGTCAAACCATTTAATCTGATAGATAAAACTGCAACATGTTACTTTAGGACAAATTATTATTTTTCATAAAAAACCACTACAAAAAAAATACAAAATGAAGCTCAAATGAATAGATATTAAAATATTCATCCTCAACCGCCACACCATGTCGTCACTGCCAGGATTTTTCAAGGTCATAATAGGTAGAAATCTCGTTAGAAGAGTACAAGGAGCCTTCAGCGGCTTCGGTGTTCATGTCAGGAGTTATTCAGATACAACCAAAAGTGATTCTAATTCTAAACAGGTTATGGTTAGTTTCATTTATAAATTAAATTTTAAAGCCTCATCATATCAATATACCACAAATGGTCATAACATTTTGTTTTTAAATACTTCTTAAGAGTGGATTGGAGATAATTAATCATTATGACAATCAATTTCACATTAGAACAGAGAAAAACTACCATTGTCATAGACATTATTAATACTATGGTGTACATTGTTTCATAATTCATCTTTTCGTACTAATTGTGTAGTATGGAACGGCGACACGGTCGATATACCTCTAATAGCTTTAGGTTGCATTTTTATCTTCACCATCGGAATATGACCACGGTCTTATAAGCCCCCTATAAGTTTAAACGCAACGACCTATTGTGCTGAGGATCCAGCTTCACGGAACTATCAGGTTCTTCGTCTACTCAACAAATCTCTCGCGATCGTCACCCAAAAATAATCAGTGGCAGTGATTGTGTTCTACGATCTATGTGCTACTTCAGTAATTTTCCTGGCTGCATCATTAACATTGGTTACCTGCGAACCTCCTTATTTTAGTATCCTTATATTCAAAAAATTGTTTACCTTAATTTAAAAGCATAATGTCAGATGCGTTTACTAGTAATTTGCTAGCAGATGTAGATAAATTAGAACCCGTATCGTTGTCACCAATCATGCTATTATCCCTAAACAAGAAACGTGCATTCTAGTGAGTACTTTTTGATAGCACCCGAGCCCACGTGCTATTTGGTGGTAATTGGTGACTGGGCCATTCAAAATTGTACACTCTACTTACGTCAGAACTACCTAGCTTTGTAATAAGGCGAGTCCCTTAGGACTGCAACCGCAATATACGCAGGAAGATAGTAATCATCCACACAGACTTACAATACATCATACCACCAGTAATGGATGGAAGTTATTGGCATGTTTTTTTTATTGCTTAGATGAATGGATGAGCTCACTGCCCAACGGTGTTAAGTGATTACTGGAGCCCATAGAAATTTACAACGTAAGAGCGCTACTCACCTTGAGATATAAGTTCTAAGTTCTCAGTGTAGTTACAACGGCTGCCCCACCCTTCAAATCGAAACGCATTACTGGAGAAATAGGCTGGGTGGTGTTACTTACCCGTGCGTACCCACAAGAGGTCCTACCACCCGTAATATAGACATAGTATATAGACATAAAAGCTATGTTTCATTTGTTTTTTGCATTTCTTTAAGGTACAAGGTGAAAACGAAGAACCGGTGAGGGTGCGTCGCGCTCGCCCGTCGGACGTGCCTCGGGTAATTCGATTTGTCCGTGAACATGTCCGACAAACCTGGCCAGAGGTATCAGCTCCTCCAGGATCAAATCTGGTTTTGTGCGATTTCTTGGCTAGGGCGTTGGCTCAAGGTTAGCATGTAAATGTGCCATTTCATTTTAATGAATTTCTTACAAAGAGCCTTTCTCAATCAACTCTTTTATAAGAAGCGACGCGTGGTTTTCTTCTCAACAAATTGTAAATAAAGTGTATCTTCCACGTAAACTAAGAAAATTAATAGTGTATTGACACCCGGGGTAAAGGGTCTTGTATCTCGCGGGACGTCTACCCTTACTTTGACATGACCTTTGACTGACTCGGCGGTGCAGTGGTTAGCGCTCCTTATGGTTGCGCCGAGGCTCGTGAGTTCGATTCCCACATCTTGAAAATATTCGTGTGATGAACAGCTTTGCAATTATTTAATTATTATTTAGCTAAGCTAGCTATTATTAGCTAGCTATTATTTAGCTATTATTTAATCTAAGGCTTATGAACTGTGATCTAATTATGATTGTGATAATTTAGCCTTCTGAAAACGCATTCACGTTAATTATAACAAATATTAGTTTAATTTTGTAAATTTCTGTCGCTTCCGTTGCTTTGTGAACTTTATAAAAAGGATCCAATGGTGAAGACAAATCGAATATCAATTTTGTGAATTGACAGGACATTCAATGTTAGCCGAAAAGCAAGAAATCAGGCGGGGCTGGTCCCAAATCCGAGGTCTCGCTTTGGGTATATCAGTTTGTCCGTGGGACGCGACGATGCTGGAGAAGTGGGCTCGCTGTGTGAGCTGCACCAAATCGAGGAGGATGATATATCTGACGGCGCATTGCTTGAGAGCTCCGGCCTTGTATGAGAAATATAAAGTTCAGAACATATTACAGGTTAGTATTTTGTGGTTGTGCAAATAGCTTACGTTACTTGAATAAATAGATGAGCTTAAAATGACGAAGAAAATGTATACCAATATTGAACCCAAGATGATTAGTTAGATTAATTAACAGATACTGAGAGTAAATTAACAAAAAAGTTCTATAATATTGTTGATTATATATAGTGCTTTTTTATTTATTATTAAAGCATAAACAGACGGATGAAGGTATGAGGTTATATCTATACATCAGAATGTGAACACAGTCCTTCAGACATAAGGTTTCAGTCTAGGTCTAGCATAACGGTTTTCCTCCCCCTTTAAGCTTGAAACTTAGCATGGTACCTATCCGAGTAGGCTCACCATTACCATCAATAATTTTAAGCAAAAAATAACTTTTGCGGCTTTTAATAATATAACACGATTATTCCTTCGCCCTGGAAGTAAATTGTGAACATGAGTTAAGGACATATTTTCAATAGGATACCGGGATTATAGCATCGGCACGATCGCGTCGCTCGATATGATTACGTGCTGGTTGTCTTATCCTTAAGGCCATGAGGTCTTCATCATTCGACCAATTATTATATATGCCCAATGTATTTTTTTTTTCTTTTTGAGCTCGATGTTAGGTTTTCGGATAATAAAGAGCTTCAAAGTACAAAAGCGAAATAAAATAATCACAGGTGTACCTCATCGTCCCCAAGAACAGTCTGAAGAGTGCAGACATTGTTCAAGTACTGGCCAAGAGTGCGATACAAAGAGGCCGAGACGTCGGCTTTCCTCTACTGCGTTTTGATGTCAACGACGTTAGCATGTTGGTATTGGTCCTTTGTTTGGTAACATCTGTCAAATTATTAGAGTAGGTAAGCCTGGATATAACAAACGGCACAATGGTGGTTTCTCGCGAAGAGCTTTTGTTTAAATTAATTTAAGGTACGTCTGGGGTATGTCTAGGGTATGTCTGATGAACAGAACTATTTCAATAATTCATGATGAGCGGAATACCATCTAGCTTATGTGTTAAGAGCTTATTGAAGTTCATAGACACCACAAGACGGCTATCCGCAGGCATCTCATTACCTTTTATCGCATATATGGTTGAACAAGCTCAGAGGCCAACCTAGTTTTAAGTGATTATTAAAATAGACACAAGCCTCGAAACGAGAAGCAGTCCAGGTCTCAAACCTTTCAAACCCAAAACGCATAACTGCTTCGCGGCAGGGTGGTGACCTCAGAACACGCCCTAACCTCAATGCTTAAGCTAGAAAGTATTGTAAAGAAAGTCGGGTAGTCAAATATCATGCAAATACTTCTGCAATGAATGATGGAGAAGTATGTAGAATAATAGTAGCTCCAGAAAGCAACACCGCCATACATTGTTGACCGAGTAGCATCCGTACACATTATCATAAAATAATATTATTATAATGTCGTCTGGCTTCACTTGAAGTAAAATTTATTGAATCATTTTAACTGAATCTGTAAAAGGCAATCAGTTTAAAAACTAGTTTTTTGGACTTAATCTACTTTCAGAGCGAAAACGCTAGAAGAACTCCAGCTCAAGAAAGAATGGCAGTTTTCATACGATGCTACTGTTTTGAAAGAGAATCCGCAATCTTCAGCAATCATTGACAATAATCCTAAAGATGCAGAAGCTAGCCTTGAAGGGAATTTCGTGGCTGTTTATACAGCTTCAACAGAAGCCGCTAAAAAAACGAATTAAATTTGTGTGGCGGTTGCAGAATAAAATTACATAAAATTAAGTTTTTTATTCCAATTCTTCGTTTGTATAAACACGCCTTTATCCCGGTGGTATCTGTGCATCTCGGTCAAGGATTTGCAAAGTTCGAGGGTGGAAAATTTTAGTTTTTTAATTTTCTGACAACGATATTTTATTTTTGCACGAGTAAAATGTCTGTCTGTTCCCAAACACAGCATTGTTGCTCAACACAAATAGACAAGACCCGTGCGGACTGCGGACCTGCAACTTGCATACCGCCAGCCCAAATGAAAATGTTCAAGCTTCCATTGAAATTTTTGAAATTCTTCTAGATCACGAATAAATCGGTGATCTAAAATATTGCCAAATACCTATTCTTTGTTTTGTCATAAGTCAAGGTCGTTGTCTATTGAATATAAAATCTGAAATATAAACAGCACGATCGAAGCTATTTCACGAAACGACAATTTTCGCAATAACCGACATTGTTGGTCTTGTAGACCACTAGCTTTTAATCATAGTTTTACTCGCGTTACTGTAGAATCACTCAAGCATAGTTCTTTTTACAGCTAGAAAGATATCCTGTGTCCTTTTTTGTGTCTGTGACATCGTGTATGCAAGATTATATGATGATCAGTAGTGTAGTACGTGAAAGCCTAACCAATGAACAAACTTACGTTCGCATTTAATATATAATATTTAGGTTTATTCGATTTATTATTTAGTCGTAACTCATTTGAAATTATATGCGCTATGCTCTATGCTATCCTATATGGAATATTACAATTACATATAATGTATTCAATAAATTAGATAAACATAGTTAAATTTAATGATTCTCCCAAGAGTACCTAACCTGATTTGTTGTCCCCAACAAAATTAGTTATGCTGGTCGCTAATCAATGTTGACAAATCTATGACACAACCACTCGAAGGTTGAGAAGGCTGACAGAAAGCGCACTTTACTATTGTAAAGTTATTTGTGAGAAATCATTAAAGACGTGACCTAACTGGCCGCGACGTAGTTACAGGGGAACATTCCTATTTAATTTCATGTACAATGAAATTAGTATGAAATTTCAATTGATTAATTTTGAGGAAACGATTGCATAATATTTTACAATCATCACGTCAAAACACTTTGAATTTCATTATTTCTGTCACCACTCTACACTTTACTAATTCTGACGACGGCTTGTACTTAGTCCAACCGTAAGCTGCGTGCGTCTTGATCAAGATGTTGCAGTTACTAGGTAGCTTAGCAATATACCTACGTAACTATTTATTTCGAAACGTTAATGTCCCACATGACAGTTACAGGGCTGCTGTACCGTCTATATCAATACATTTATGTAAAAAAAGGATTGCATCAATTGGTTTAGAAAAACAAATTTTGTTTTTTGAATGAAAGTGTACAATCACGATATACACATTACAGAATTTACTATTCGACACGCGGGTTCCCATTATTTCTCCGCCTATTTCTGCCGTGAAGCAGCAATGCGTTTCTGTTTTAAGGGCGGGGCAGCCGGAGTTATGAGTCGTCATGGCCTAACGGATAAGACGTCTGGTGCATTCATATCTAGCAATGCACCGGTGTTGGAATCCCGCCGGCGGGTACTAATTTTTCTAATGAAATACGTACTTAACTTCACGATTGACTTCCACGGTGAAGGAATAACATCGTGTAGTAAAAATCAAACCCGCAAATAATTTGCGTAAACTCGTATACGGCCGTAGCCTACTGCCATCACAAAGTTAATGAAGCTTTTCAAGTTGAACTACTACTGCTACCCCCTCTTTATTTGTAGTACTTATAACTATCCTCCGCCTATTGAATCCTTTATTTATTTCTTGCGTCGAGTACGTATCGGTAAGCAGTGTGTGACCACTTATATTGGTACTACGGTCTTACCTATTCCTGTCGTATTTAAATGAGTAAGTACAATTCTGGACACTGAGCCCATGTCGCTTTATAACCTTTTTTAAAAATATAAAAAAATGTAACCTTTTGTTGCGTTATTTGTGAACCTGCGATGTTGAGTGTACATAATTGAAATCAAATTAAGAGTCAAGAACTCACTTGGACTCTTAAATGAACGGGCACAAAGACCCCGGTTTGGTGCGACTATTGATTCTGTGCCTTATCATTAATTGGTTTGCATTGCACAATATATATTTTTTATATCTTGGATACTCACGGCCCACCTGGTGTTAAGTGGTAACCGGAGCAGATAAACATCTACAAAGTACCTAAATGCCGCTACCCACCTCGAGACATGAGTAGTAAGGTCTCAGTTTTGACAGTACAACGGCTGCCCCACCCTTCAAACCGAAACACATTACTGCTTCACGGCAGAAATAGGCAGGGTATTACCTACCTACCCGTGCGAACTCACAAGACATCCTACCACCATTAGGCCAATTATATTTTTACGGGTTTAGTTTTTATTACACGATGTTATTCCCTCATCGCGGAAGTCAATCGTGAACAGTTTTTAAGTATGTATTTCATCAGAAAAATTGGTACCCGCCTGCGGGATTTGAACACCGTTGCATCGTTCGACACGAATTCACCGGGCGTCTTATCCTTTAGGCTACGACGACTTTAACACCTATAGAATATATACTCTTTAGTGTCCGCGTGTCGTGAACCTTAAACGACCTCACGTTTTTTATTGTCAATTAAAACAATTCAATTTTATGTTATCTGTCGATGCACGGACATCAACGAACCCAACGGCGCGGGCGCCGGGAGGAGGACAGTGGCGCGGGGTAGCGGATTTACACCTGCTTCGACACTTCGTGCAGAAACGCCACCCGCGATACTTACTTGTTTCACTCTTTTATTTTATATCACCGTCTACCTCAGAGCAGTCGTAACATTATCTATCCAAACCAAATCCATCGTCAGTCGTCGCAACGACAATTGCCGGGTCGGCTTCCTCTGCGTGTAGGATGGCAAGGAGTCTTGCGTCATGCAATAAACGTGTCAACTTGCTGCCGCTTGCCTCAGCTGAATCCTGTGTTATCCAAGGCTTGGAGTGTGTGGAGTTATTCAGACACAGGGATTTTTAGTCAAGTCAAACACACAAACATTATGCTCTGTATGCATAGTACCTACAAAAAATGACTAGTCTCAAACACAAACATCCATCGGTGTGGCACCAGAACATAAATTACTAATCTTGTAAGTTTCTAGTCTTACTCTAGTCTATCTATATATATAAAAATGGATTGCTGTTCGTTAGTCTCGCTAAAACTCGAGAACGGCTGGACCGATTTGGCTAATTTTGGTCTTGAATTATTTGTGGAAGTCCAGAGAGGGTTTAAAAGGTAAGTATGAAAATGTTCGGAATTAAATAAAAATGACAATTTTGTTTTTCCTTTAATGTGTCCCCCAAAAGTTTAGGTCTTTTATTTATCGATTGAGGCACTACGAAGTCTGCCGGGTCAGCTAGTACTATATATTTATCACTACGGAATGTTCCGCATTCCTGAATATCTCTTACAACAAAAGAAACGCACCTTAATTGTTGATTACTACAAATCGGTATTTAATTTTTATATGAACTAGCCCTTAAATTCATAGTTTTAAATTCAGTCAATCCACTCAAAGAGTCTTTGACAAAGACACCAAAGTCTTGCCGAAACGGTCACGGATTGACGCCTTCACAAACAACGTTGTGTAAAAGGTTTAATTTAAACAAATGTAGAATCGACGTTCGTACACTAGGGTACGTTGTGAAAGACCAGTACAGTTGCGATTCCGAGTTATATAAAACAGAAAACATTAATTTTTGTCTCGAGTCGAACGATTGCCGCTAAGTTGACTGCACTTTTTGTTGATTGTCGCAAGGTAAGGAATGTTTCAATTTAAAATAACAACCGTTTATTTTAATTTATTTTTTTCTAGATTGAAAATGATTAGTACTTGTATTTATATTTTAATCTTTCGTAAAATTTAATTCATCTATGAAATTTCTTTTTCAAGTTTTTTTTTTGGCTGACTCGAATTTTGTTTTAGTTTTTTTTCCTATTTCTTGGCCTGCACGGTTTGTACGTCAGCCATGCAAAAAAGTTAGGAAGTGTGTTAATGGTTTTTTTTTTTTTTTAGATTGGAAATTGGAACGGAATTTGAAAAAGGATCAGGTAAATTTAGTATATAAGTCAAATTTTGAATTAAAGTTAGAATTTGAATTTCATAAGTTTCGAATAAAATATTTCAATAACTTGGAACACAATTTTGACTATAATAGTGTAGCCTAATTTTATTAAAGTATTAACTCACGCAACAAATCTTGTCCGGTCAAAATTTCAATATATTTGTATGTGAACGATTTGTGAATTTTCTTTTTTCCGGACAATATTTGCAAATTTAAATTGGTACCTATTTAAGACATCATTGCGAATGTTTAGCCAAATTAGTCCAGCCCTTTTTAAATTATGTGCTTTACAACAAATTTTTATAGATTATAGTTTGAATATAACAACTAATCTATGCCAATATACCTATTAGGTATATCTCAATGCAAGCATCACTCACCATAACATTAAAACGATCAATAAAACAATAATAATATTATATTATATTAGGAAGCATTGCGTAACGTAGTTAATATTGCTTTAAAACAAAAACACATTAACATAACAATATTTGAAAGCGGCGCTTATTATTCAAAAAAATATTTTTCAGTAAAAACATGGCGTTAAAATTGATGTCCGTTACGTTGGGCATCCTGCAGTTGACTGCGGCGTTACCAACAATACTACAAGACCTGGAGATGGCTGATGACACTATGTCAATAGGATCGTACATACGAGAAGCTAGGGCCGCCCCGGTAAGTTCAGTATATGAGTAAAGAAATTCAAAAGTTTCGAACAGGTCACCAGAATCCACGAAGACAATGTCCCAATTTCGTTATTAAAGTCAAAAGTTGTTTAGTATTTTCGTGATATGACTTATACGATTTTTTTATTGTTATAACATTGGCAGATACCAAAGAGGTAGCAGCATAAATTCCGCTACCAACTTAGAGAAATTAGGACAGAGACTCAATTGAATTGTAAAAGGCATCGATGAGCAGGGGCTTGTCTGTGCCGCTGTTATTATTGATGTACCTACAGAGCAACACTGATCACTCGCCATCAGGTGGACCGTAAACTCGTCTGTACATAAGAAAAGAAATTATCTGTTCTACCGCTCATATTGGAATTGACGACTGCTTCGTCGCATTTAAGACCTGGTCCAGAAAGGGTAAATCCGCCGCGAAATGTTTCGAACGAAATACATCGCGTCCACAAGCATCGCCCGAATTCAAAATACGCGCGTAAATCGCGTGCACTACGCCAGACTCTCGACTCGCGCGTTATTCGCGCATAATGCGCGCGAGCCGAGAGAATCGCGGCGAATTCGCTCCTTCTGGACAAGCTCTAGCTTATAGACACAGTCTACTGAGTTTGGGACGTGTTTCCCGAGCGCTATGACATTTCCTTCTTCAAACGAGGCTTGTGGAGAGTAATTAATGGCTTGGCTCTGCCCCTGGCATTGCTGAAGTCCATCGGCGACGGTAATCACTCATCATCAGGTGGGCCGTTTGCTCGTATACCTGCAAGGGCAATAAAAAAGAAGTTTCTCACCGGATCTTCTTATTATGATTCCGATCCGGTGGTAGATTCTGTGTGTCCTTACTAGGCCTAGTGTTGGCAATTTCTCTTAAGTTGAGCTCGTAAGCTTACCTACACTTCCACGTGTAGCTGGAATAGGCTATCCATGAATATATATAAGCTTTACCGCAGTAATGGACTATTATTAAATGGTGGTATCGTGCGGGCTTAGGCACAATCCGCCACAACAGCAGTAATGTTGTTTTGAATGAGTACATTGCTTAATTTTTGTATGAACGTAAATATTTCATCATGTTCTTTATTTTCTAGCCAGAAAACTTTCACAGATCATATGAGAATGAAGGTGATGGTGAAATAGGATATTCGAGAAAGAAGTCTGGTGGTGGTAAGAAAGGCTACCAGCATTTCAACTCATACCACAAGAAGGCAGGCGATAACTACGAATTCGAGAAGCAGGACTCATTCGGTCACGACGACGAGGGTCAAGCGGGGGCTCACAGCCACAACCATGAGACAAAAGGTGAAGAAAGATCAGCGAAATTCATAAAGAGACCTAGAAAATTTCTTAAAAGGCTTTTCAAGTGGTTTGGAAAATAAATTATTGAGTTAATGGGAAACATCAAATTTCAAAAACGTGTTTACTTATCATTTTGTTGTTTTACTATCACACGAACAGAATAAATAACGTTACATACAGTACCTGAATATAATATACATAAATTTTGTATTATGTTATGTTCTTAATAAAATAAATTCAACTGAACGATTTGTTTTTGTTCAGCTCAGAAATATCGGGAACCTGAGGCTGAAGACGTCGGTGACGACGAGGAGAAGAGACCAGCCGAGACAAACAAGGGGAGACATCATGAAGAGCTAAAGTAAGTTTCACACAGTGCGGGTATGATAGTGATCCACCTCTGCAAGTGAACATGGGTGACAGTCGATTTAATTAATTCATTTACGTTATTTATGAAAACTGTTTTTCTAATGAAATACGTCCGATTGACTTCCACGGTGAAGGAATAACATCGTGTAATAAAAATCAAACCGGCAACATTATAATTTGCGTAATTACTGGTGGTAAGACCTCTAGTGAGTCCGCGCGGGTAGGTACCACCACCCTGCCTATTTCTGCCGTGAAGCAGTAATGCGTTTCGGTTTGAAGATTGGGGCAGCCGTTGTAGCTATACCGAGACCTGAGAACTTGTATCTCAAGGTGGGTGGCGCATTTACGTTGTAGATGTCTATGGGCTCCAGTAACCACTTAACACCAGGTGGACTGTGAGCTCGTCCACCCATCTAAGCAATAAAATAAATAAAAAATACATATAATTTGTCAGATACTCTCAATCAGTATTTTAAAAATAGAAACAAATATACATACAAAAGTAACAAATTTGATTATGTTTATGTTTTGATTAAATTAAGACGCTTAAGACTTTAAATACAGGTTTATGGGCTTTTGGAACTACTATGTACCTAATTTGTCTGCAGTAGATAGTATGATCGTCTTGTATATTATCGACTAACATTCCCCTTATTTCCTATTGTCAGATTCTGACTGAAATTTCCTAGCTTTAACTTATACTTACTGTCACATTCCGAATAGTTTTAGCGTAGACTTTCAGTTCTTGTAATCATGCAAAGAGTGTAAATTGAGAATATATTTTACACTCATTTTTGTTTAAGAGAGGGCGCTAGCGATGGCAACGGCGGCACAGAATCTTTCGGTCATGATCCCAATGACTACATACTTCCTGAAAAATATACGTACGGAAGCGGGGAGGAATATAATTTTTAGATTATAAAGATACTTCAGACTGATAGCAGTTAGGTACTGAATATAATAAAATAATTCTGTTTTGTATGAAACATGCTTTTCAATCGCCATCTTTTGCAACGTGATGGAAAGGAATTGATTTTTGTTATAAATAAAGAAATGAATGAGAGTTTCTGTATGTCATTATTAATTTTAAAATGTATACCTATTTAACTATTTTTAAAATTCAAGTTCAATTTATTTTTACCCGCATGATACTATAACAAAATAGTGTAATAGTGAAATTGTTTTTTCATTACATTATTGGAAATATAATTTAAAAAAAACGGTGTACTGTACTTTAAAAATAAATAAGCAAATTTTTGTTAATAAGGTGTCAAACATTACAAAGCAGAAACGAAACGCTCTTGATGTTATACGTAGAATGACAGCACAACATTTCTGACAATTCTGACAAAGAGACATTCGTTGTTTTGTGTTGGAACTGAAAGAAAGGAGTAACTGGCTTTAGTTTATAAACACTAACAAAAATTTACGTATTGCTCGTTTAGTGTAATGTGAGTATTTAAAGTCATAATGGGGCCAAATACTATCGATATTATTGCTGCATTTACCTTAAATTTCCTGCAATACGTTACATCGGGTAAGTGACTTTAACCGACAATTATTTAATTGAAAGAACGAAATACATCCCGTATTACGAACAGTATTCTATTTAACAGACCACATCCTGCCTTGTAATGTGACCGCAATCGAGCCTTGTAAGGGGAAAAATGAGGTTTGCGTCCAGAAGACATTGCAATGTGTCTGCGAAAAAGGTTTTATTCGAGTTGGTGACGACTGTGAAGAGCCTAGTGATGATACAGGCGGTCCTCACGGTGCCACGGCTGCTATAGTGTCCATATTTACTATAGCATTAATAGTATGTGGTCTGGTATTAGTCGTAAGGAAGTATAATTTAATTGAATATATGAGGCAGAAGATTAATCAACGAAGAACAAATGATGTTATGTACGAGGACGTCATGATAGGTAATGACGATCCTCCATTAAGCCCATAATGTCTTGATAGCTATTTAATCTTTGGTTATTATTATAATAAAATAGAACTAAGTGTGGAAGTGTGATGCTGCAGCTTAAACAATGTAACTAAATGTAGGCTATATTCCTTCTTGTGATTCCTCCTCTCTACTGAAGGTTATCTTTAAATATAGCAAATTATCTAGATTTGTTGCTTGGTGAAAAGAATGCATTAATACAAGCAATCATACTAAGTTACAATAAAAAAATGGTTGTGAAAGACCAAGCAAGGCTGTGCATTCTGGTATACAATATAATATTACTTATAATCTGTAAATCAAATGACATTAGCTATATAAATATTTTATAGACTGCTAATAGGTTTTAAAATATAAACACTCAAGAAGTATTACATTTCTCTGTGTTACTTTCTTTAAATTGTCAAATCACATTTTAACCAACTAATAGTACCTACCACTATTAATGTTAGATAAGCAATTGTGTAACTAAAACAGTAACAAACACATTAAAATTTGTGATATCCATAAGTGTTGGTGACCACTTATCATTAGGTGGTCCATATTCACAGTGTAAAAAAGGATATACGTGTCTGCTTCCTTTGCGACTATATTATGGATATTAAATGAGCAAGTATATAAAAAAATAAAACTGCATAATTGATTTTATTTTAAATAATAAAAGCAGAGAATCTTAAATATTTTGTTTTTAAATGTTGCTCTAATTTAAAGAGATACTGATATCAAACAAAGCCAAATAGGTGGGACAACATAAGTGTTAGCTTATTTAGATTCAGTTCTCATTAGATTATAAATAATTATTATGACATGGACAGGAAATTAGATCACAGCTCACTTGGTTTAAAGTGGTTATTGGGCCCTGTGGCCTCGGTAACTATGGTTTTAAAATGGGTAGTGATAATCATGTTAATGTCTATACCGTGCAGACAAGCAGCAAGCCAGCATGCAACAAGTAAATCATTGACCACCTTAGCAATATTTTCCTTTATTCTTAGATACACAATATGTTGTTATAAATACAAACATGCAACTTGTATAGTTGCACAATATTATTGTTTGACAGAAAAAATTAATACAATTATTTATCAAAGGCAAATAAGACTAATATGTAAATATGTTAACAAGAAACTTTCCTGCACGACAATAATTGATATAAGTAATATTCATCATTATTAAATTTTAAATTACTATCTGGAAGATGTCTTGTTAAGTACTTGCTATATATTGAAATTTGAGTAAGCAAAGGTAGGCCTTTACTATTGGCTAAATCTATGAGTCATAGTGATCGCCTTCGGAGCATACATTTGAAAAAACTACATCCATAAAAAACATTAAATATGTATGACATTAACAAACAAGGGTTCAAAGAATATAACTTTTAAAGAAATAAGGATCTGATTAGTCTTCTGGTGAAGTAATGTAATTTCAACATTCTTAGTGTACGGAAATTTTGTAAGCCTGATTAGAGTTCCAAGTTCGAGGCTGAGTATATATTACACGGGTAATGCAAAGTCTATTAATAACCTTTAAACGTTGTTAATAGCTTGATAATATTGATTGTCGAGTAACTTCAATGAGATGTTAATATCCACACTTAGTTGTTATTTTAGTAATAATAAATCTTTATAATATAACGAAATTCATATTTAGTATAAGTTAAAGCACACAGCTAATGTTATTCCACAGATTTATATTTAATTAATGTACATCTTTGTTACTTTAAATTGATATGTAAGTTAGTCTTTAGATATAAATAAATCATGAACCACAAAATATGGGAAGACATATAACATTAAAAAGACTTGTTTTACAACATTAAGAGTTTTTGCTTAACTAATTAAATTCTTAGACGCTTCAAATATTTAACACAGTCATAATATTTAAGAAACATCGTCTATTAATGTAAAATATTGTGCTTTAGTAAGAAAAGATAAGTAATAAGATTTTTAGTTAGCAGAATCAAGTATTACGGTACAATAGTATACAATCAGCAAAATCAAAAAAATAGTGTAGTGTATTATATTTTAAGAAATGACTGGATGCAGTGGTGTTAAATACTAAATATTTTAATAACGTTTTCTCTGCTATTGGCAATTTCAAATATGTAATTTCAATTTCTGCTAAAATAAAGTAAGTAAAAATTTTTTTTTCTGATATTTTTCAAAAACAACTTGCTGTGACTTGAATGCAGAATGTATTAAATTTTAAGTTTAAAGGTTGTAATAATTGATTCGAAAACAATGGCATGTTAGTGATATGGTTCTCTCAGCTTGTTTAGTGACGCAGTCAATATAAACTTAAGAAATTTGCTAGCTTTTAGTTACATAATATGTGTCTTTATATGTATATTGTCTATTATAGATGTTAAAGTTCAATATAAATTATATATTTGACATTTCATTTTGCCTTTACACCACAATTACATTGTAAATTAATTTATTTTACAAAGTCTCTGTGTTTTAACTACACTCTTAAGACACAACATATAGTGGAACACTTTGCTCATTGAGTCAGCTCTTTATTCCACCAGCTCTGTCTCCTTCGAATGATTTCGCAAGTCGTTTCGTTTGCAGTTCCAATCCTGTCCAGGTTTATTAGTCGAGGCGCCAATATACCTGCAGAAGCAGAACCACTATTGGGAATGGGCTGTACAGTAGCGTAGCGATCTAAGTTGCGCCCGGGGCACAATACCTTTTAGTGATTTAGACTATTGGTGTTCCTTTTTTCCTTTTTATTTACGAATTAATATTTATAATATAGCAGTGGCGCTAAATTTAAAATATATTTTGCAGAAATCAATTATAATCAAAATAAAAATTATCCAGCAACTTTTTGTTTTGCGGACCATTTAGCGCAGCTTTGTGAGGAGCGCCCTTCTTGCCCAACCCCAACAACGAATGCAGTGTTTTCGTAGAGCCAGAATTAAATTGTGCCGCGACCTCCACCACACTTTAATTTAATTAATTATTATTAACCAATTTATTAGATTGTTTTTTAAGCTTCACGCTCAATGTTGCCAAAGACTGATGGATAATTTAAAGATGTAAACTTGGATATCGCTTTAAATGTTACGGGCGAAATTTGTAGAAACGATATTATCCTGGTTTACCTTATTACTCATACCTACCTTAGTCGATAACTTTTAAATGTGGGGTGGATGAAAGTTCCCCTATTTTATAGTTATACATTGTCAGTTCGGTGGTAGTTATTGTGCCGGAACTGTGGCTCATAGATTAATTGAGCACCGCTGTTTCATTTCGCCTACTGGGCCCTATCTTAAAGGACTTTGACAACAATGAAAAATCGAAGATTTAGAGAAATTAAGAATGAACATACCTTGTTAGATTAAATAAAATGATGTGAAATGATATTGCGGACTACATTAATCTACAAATATCTCCGTAGTTACATACATATAGCTTTTCGTATATTCATGTTATTAAGTTATGTGTATTTTATCAATGATTTTATCATAAATATTGTTGTAGTTACTAGACTTAGTTGACCATTTGTGATCTTTCACGTGTATCTCAGAACTAACCACTGCAGATGAACCTTGCACCACCATATTAATATTTTCTGAAGTCTGTAGGAAGGGTATTCGTCGGTGTTCACTATCTTTTTGCGAACATGAACTCTTGTAGCCGATAAAATAAATTAATGTTACTAATAATAGTTTAAAAGTTCCTTTACGTCAGTGTTTCTCCGTCTGAGTTTTAATAAAACATAGAGCTGTTGTTAAGGTGATAAATTACAGAGAAAATAATTGCCTATATAAAATCGATATCTCATAATTTATTTACCTACTTGTCAAACTGGCATATTAATGTTTCGAGTTTCTTTTTTATTTATAATTCTGATATTTTAAATTAGGTGTAAGAATATTATTGAAATATGTCAAAACACTGACGTAACGTAGCCGATTTCGTTTGCAAACTGACAAAGTGTAGGTTATCTGTTTGTTTCAAAATCTATCAGACATTTACAAGTGAAATAAATGTTACTATATTTTTGAAATAAAGATACTCTGTGATACTGTATTATTGTTTATTTTATGTTATATAAATCCTTAGTAAGGGCGTTGTGTGATAGCTTGTAGTGTATTTAGCCATGTAGCCCGCCACTACAGTTAGTGCGGCGACAAACACGGGGCATTCGTATAAAACTGCAACAGAAAAAGATGAGTTAGTATCGACTGTTTTCCTCAACATTCGGGCAGTTTGGTTTTCAAAGTGTAAGTTAAGTATACTTTCTGTAAAACATCCTAGAGTAGCACTACCATATTACATCCTCTCGTGGGTCTCGAAAAAAAGCGATTAAAGGAAGAAGCTACTGTGTGCTTAGTGTGAGTTTTTAACGTTCTCGATAGCGTAAAAGTTATTTCAAATATTATTATGTATGCAGTTAGAACAGCGCCCCTAGCGGCAAACGTTCCAACTCCATATGAATTTGCGTAACGCTATCGAGAACTTCAAAAAACTAACACTAAGCATACTGGTGTGCTGTTGAGACACATAATTAGGTCATTTTTGTTCGCTTGTCAATTTTTAACCTCAATGCCAATTCCTCTCCAGTTTGTGTGGTCAAGTGATCGGCACATTAGATCACATTTTTCCAAATTTTGCACCGAAATGAACCCATTTTATACTTTGTTTGCTGATTCGACGAGCATTATTTTCCATTCATATGAACTTCCCCCTAACGTTTCCCAGCAGCAAAATTGTGTGTGCATGGGCTTATTTCCGCAATTGACATAAAACTTTAAACATCTTCTAGCTGCCTGATATCGGCAGTGTTGTTATTAAAAGAAGAAACAGAAGTCAATTTCTCTCTTCGTTATAGGCGTTTGAGGCCGTTAACACAGATTTTCGTTGTCGAATAGAACTATTTAATCTTACAACATACTGTAACGCCATCTATTGCCGAATAGTCGAAGATCGAAGGATCTAGTGACATCTAGAACGCTCGAGCAGTACAATGCCATCTATTGTCAGATAGCGGAAACACACATCGAAGGTACTCGACTTGTGAGGAATGTTATCGACGATACTAGGGTTGTCGTCTCGACTATAAAAGCGTGGTAGAGATGGCACGCAGTCAGTTAGAAGTCAGATCTACTCAAATCGAAACAGCGAACGAACGAAGTAAATTAAGAATTTTAAAGTGTTCCGTGAGTGTTCTAAGTGATAAATACAGTTTGAAGTTGTACTGTGGTGGAGCATTTATTTATCCCGAACCTCTGCCCGTAACAATACGTAAGGCACACTTAATGTTTAGGGATTTAATAAAAACGGCTTGCCTGTGAAGACGTTAGTGAAGACCACGAAACTGTAAGAGAGGACGAGTCCGTAGTGCACCAGTCTGGTCTCCAGCGACGTGTCTGTGCCCCACACCAGCATCGGCAGCGTGAACAATATGCTCACGTCCGCCAACGAGAACGCCTTCAGACACCTCAGTATTGGTACTGCAAAGTCAAATCAACTAACTACAATCTGGGAATAGAAAGGGGTCGTCCGCCGTCTTATACACCGGTATGCAGCCAACTCGATGCTGAGCTGGCCCATTATTTTTTTTTGTTTTGTTATTTCATAGGTTGGTGGACGAACTCAAACCCACCTGGTGTTAAGTGAAGAGGTGTGAAGTTACTGAAGCCCATAGACATTTACAACGTAAATGCACCACCCACCTTGAGATATGAGTTGAAAATGTTCGCTCTGGGACATTTCATATGAATAACTTTTTTTAGGTTTTTAAATAGTCTAACTTAGAATTAGACACATTCCCTCTACGGTACTGCGGGTACCGCGAGTACATACTGCGGGTCGTTTTACAGCCGTGACAGCTGTCCCGGGGCCACAGCCGAACTGTGTCGGCGAGCCTAGCTACTGCGGTAACCACTTGATACTCGGTGGTCTGTGAGCTAGGACTGTTTAATTACAGAATTAAAAATTTCAAACCTTCGCTTTGTGACATTACAAGCTTGAATGACGTCATCAGTAACTGTGTCGTCGCCACGAAAACGAATATGCCTGAAAATAAATATGTAGGTATTTTGTAAGTTTTTAATAATATTGCTACGCTAGTAAGAGTAACGCCATCTATCGCCGAATAGCCGAAACGAATATCAAAGGAACTCGTACGTCTAACTAAACGTGTTTAGCAAGGATCAGTTCTATAGTTACAGGAGCAGCCGTTGTAACTATAGAACTGATCCTTGGAACTAATGTCTCAAGATGGGTGCCGGTATTTAGGTTGTTGTTGAGGTCTATAGGCTCCAAAAACACTCACCTGTGTAAGCGATCAAAAATTATCGCATTACGATAAGTGCTTGATTCTTATACTTCTATATTTTTTATATTACTGTCTATTATAATAGGTATGAAATTAGCTATACTTTTTTTTTATTGCTTAGGTGGGTGGACGAGCTCACAGCCCACCTGGTGTTAAGTGGTTATTGGAGCCCATAGACATCTACAACGTAAATGCGCCACCCACCGTGAGATATAAGTTCTAAGGTCTCGAGTATAGTCACAACGGCTGCCCCACCCTTCAAACCGAAACACATTACTGCTTCACGGTAGAAATAGGCAGGGTGGTGGTACCTACCTGCGCAGACTCACAAGAGGTCCCACCACCAGTAAAAAACTCCGCCCATTAAACCAGAATACATCATTGGCTCGCTGCCGAAGTGTTCCGTCTTACATTCACTTAAAGTGTAGATGGGACATGAACTTACGGGCCACATGCTGTTGAGTGGTCACCACAGTCCATAAATATCAGAAGGTAAAATAATAAAAGTGGTCATAATTGTGGAAGGTGCCGTGACCACTTTACTTTCTAAAAAGCATGATGGTACCGACGGTGCAGGACCACAATACATATACTTTGGACCCCTGATAAAATAATAGACACTTTTTGTGTTGTCCAGCTGGAGCACTGGGTATGAATACTCCAGAGGGTCCCACAAACAAGTTCGAAAAGGAATGGTAGCGAGCGAGGTGCGGACGTATTCTCGTGTGTATGCTTCGGTGGTTGCGGGCAGGGGGGTGCAACTCCCATACAAAGGAAAAGAACATTCAACTAGCGTCATCTTTAGGAACCGGCGAGGTCATTTTTGAAACGTTTTGGCCTTAATGAACTAATAAACTCACTAGATGGCAGATACGAGTCCTGACTCAATAAAAAATGTTAGCGTACTTTGAAGCAGTGCTTCCACTTTTAGGGAATTCTCCCTTTTTTAGGGAAAAATAGCTGATATTTTGGATGATAAAGACAATTTAAAAAATACCAGGATTTAGGATATTTCGGGGTAAAAAGCAAAGCCTATACTAGTAACTGTTGTGAATTTTAAAATAAACGATAATTAAAGTAAAACAATGAACATTTTATTTTATGGAGAGAGAGACATTAAGTCGAGTTGACAAGTAAAAGAATAAAACAGTTGTGTATAAAAACTATAAAGAAGGTTTGATTCAACAGTAACCCTCTAGTAAAGTAAATCATAGGTTAAGCCACTGCTTTTTTCTTAGGGATTCCCCAGAATCCCAATAAGTATAATATGTTATGAACATGATTGTGGGTTAATCGTTTCTTAAATTTCTAAATGTTTATAAGAATGCTAAGAATAATTCAGTATTCACTTTAGTGTGTGCATTATCTCTACAATGCTAGTTTAAATGACAATTATTGTATGACGAAGCATAGGTATCACTGTTTTATAGATGTGAACCGCAATGTTTTAACATACAAGGTCATGCTCTGTCACGATCAACTTTAAGCAAGAACTGCTATCGTTAAGAAACAAATTTATTAAATTTAATTCAAATTGTCTAATATGTTTGTAATGGAAAGCTGACATGTTTATATTTCGCACAAATGACTTAATTGACATTGAATGATTTGATTATCTAGACTTAATTAACTTTTAGATAACTTTCGATTTAATGTTAATAAGTACGCTAGTAGGATTAATCTAGAGGA